TCATTTGGTATACCTAGGCATTATGAAAAGGCTGTTAAACTTATAGCTGAAAAGTCCACGGGAGAAGGCCTTCCGGCTGTCAACAGCAGCAGTAAGTAGAGTGGGCGATAGATTAAGAGGTCTGAATTCACATCTGCCGCGTCAATTTTCGCAGCGCGCGAGGTTTCTTAACGAAGTAGACACCTGGGGGGGATCGGAGCTTCGGCAGTTTCTACTTTACACAGGAGATGGTCCGATTGATAGCTTTTCGTCGTTTCCTTTCGAAAGCTACTTTGGGAAACTTAAACGCATGCTTCGAAAGCCATCGCAGCCACTGCAACAGGTAGTACATAGGTTAGGGGGGGCTGCAGGCGTAGCGGCGCCCATTACCAAATCCACCTGAATGTTCTTTTAGCAAAGAACACACCAACCGTTCAATTACCGCCAGCCGTCGGAACGGTTACACAATGTACGTCACTACAGAAAGAAGGAATTATAATAGGGACAACACCGTCGGAAGGGTAATTAGCCGTCGATGGCCAGTTCATCAACGTTGAAAACATAAATAGATGTTAGTGATGTCTTCATACCGCTTTATCCCATAATTAGTGTTACTGTACCAATATTCTGCTGGCATTCTATGTTTCAGTTGACACTGAGAGTAATATCATCTTTTTTGATTTCAGACGATGAAATAAACGACTCATCCACTGGACCGGTCGGTACCTCAACGCAGCCCACAATTGGGCCAACTGTACATATTACATTGATTCCCCTAGTAGTTGTACAGCTGTCTCGCCGTTTGTATTTTGCCTACTTAGGGATTCATACTACTACAACCTTATTTAAATATATAGGTTTTTTTAAAGAAACCAAGACTTCCTGATGTCCTGCTTAAGGGAAAGAATATGGGGGTGATGGAACGGGGACAAACGGATGGGAGTGGGGTATGGGTTATGTGAAATTAAAAGGGGCGGGAGTCCTGTCCGTTTAAAAGCGAATGTATATTTTCCGCGTGCAATCTGCGCAATGCGTCTGCTTATATTCTGCGCAGAGCGTCTGCGACTTATCAGCACTTCTGAAAATGCCGTTGAACAAGCGTTTAAATTCATTGTAGTAATAAGTTTTGAAGCCATGGAGAGCATAATGCGCAGGCATAATTTTGTATTGCGAATAGTTCCGAGTCACTTATCTGCTATAGATGGGGCGCGTTTGTTCCTGCATATTTTATGGTTTTACTAAATATAAGAGCCGCGGGTATAATGGATCACGGCGATAAACCAGCTACTTAGATTCAGTCAGTAGCCTTAGCAGTTTCAAACTTGAGGCAGTTAAAGTATTTAAGTGATCCCTAGCGGAAGTCTATGTGTATCACATTTTTGTTGAACCAAGGCCAAGATTCTAAAGTACTCACAACTTGAGGCACGGCTGCTTTTCAAGGGTACTTTCGTCAAGACGAAACTCCTGAAAATGGTCCTTGAGAAGGCATATTATATTATCCGTTCTCTTTCACCGTATCTGAGGAATTAGTTTGATTGAGGGGACGGTAGTATGGGCATTTTACGCGGTCGCAACACTGTTTAATGCTTTGGGAATCCACTCTTCGCTTCCGTCAACATCCTTTCGTCCACATGCAGTGGCATATGGTCAAGCAGACTTTCAGTACGGAGTATTTCTATAACGTGGAGCAGGAGAATTTCGGGTGGTCACCCACGATTTTTCGGTTCCTCAGTGGGGTTTTGGAATTATTCAATAGGTGCGTCGTTGAAGTCCTGGGACTTAGCCCTATTCGCATATCTTCTGAAAGAAATAGGTAAGTTAGTGTAGACATTATCTCTGAAAAAGGGAACCTCGTCTTACCAAATGTCTAAAAATTATTTTGCTGGCATGGCTACTGATTGAATCTAAGTAGCTAGTCTATCTTCGTGATCCCTTTTTCCCCGCGACACTTATTTTTAGTCAAACCCGCTAATTTGTGGCTTGGGTTTCAGTGTCACACAATCTAAACGATCACGATCGCTCAGCCGTAATGCGCCAATAATAGTTACCTTTCTTCCTCGATAGAAATCGAGGAGGGAGATTACTAGAGCACTGTACCGTAAATGGCGCTGATCGATTTCGCCGTGCTTCACACCAATGCAGCGATTACTGAACAAATTGTAGTTGTCAATAACCAACACCGACATAATGGCACCTATTGTTAGTTTGAATAAGTCATCATCATCATCATCATCATCATCATCATCATCATCTGGGGCCTCTGGACGTCACAGCATAGTCAATTCCGTAGGGGACTCGACTACTCTTGATGCTGAGATCTTTAAACGCATCAACTCGCCTGGTACAAATACGCATCTACTTCTCCCCCAGCAAACCTCTGGCAAGCCTAAGCATGGGTCTAATTCAAAGGCGAATGTAACTGCCGTCTCAGCCACTCCGACACCTGGTAGATCCAGCTCCATTATGAAATCTTCCCCCCCCCCCAATCGCCCTACAATGCCTCATACACCACGGCCCAAAACGTAGCGTGTTTCCAACTGCCCCCAACACTCTTGTCGAGGCGGTTCGGCCGAATATGCCGACATTCCCGCCTTTTAATAGAATTTTTGCTCTACTGGAAGCAGTGCGTCCTCCAGCCCCCATCATTTTTCCTCCACGACCGTTTTACCAATGCATTCCTCATGCTAATGTCCATACTGGGTCAACTAACTCATCCGCTCCTAAGTTTCGTTCCTGTGGAAATGCGCTGCAGTATCCGGCCCGTGGTCTGGTAGTCTGGTAGTCCAAGACGTTCCTCACGTACAGATAATTCGCCAAAATTTCGGCCGGCCGGATTTGGGCTCCGGTTTCGCTTGCGAATACACTGGTTAACAAGGTTGCACAGGCAGGCATTGGCTCTCAGCACCCATAAAAGATATCGTTAATCAGCAACCTTGTCTTCCGTTTCACTGCAATGCGTTTCAACGTGCCGATATAGCGTCCTTACGCAACAGCGTTTGTGACCGATAGGTTAGTTACTATTGGAATCCAATATTTGTGTCGTATTTTTTGCTTTCCTGAAGGATTTGGTTTGTAGACATCCACAATTTTAGCGGCAAATGAGGACATCCAGAAAGACCACCTGGCTGTTTTCTTCCTCCTCCATGGGAAATTGAGTGTCCGCGAAGACGCGGTTGAGACTTTACGAGGACTCTAACACCTGATTCCCTTCAATGACGAGGAAGGTTTCATCAGCATACCGAGCCCAAAATTTCGGCCTGTGATGTCGAAAACCGGCTACTACAACCGTCGTAGGACCGCCTCAGCTATGAGTTCTGCAATCGGCGGACCCATTGGCTTGCCTGCTCGTAGACTATCCCGTCAAATGTAAAATACGTCTTCAGACAGAACTTCACGAAATAGAGGCTTTAGGCGTGTCGGAGGCGATTTTCCGTTGCATTCTGCTCCTCTTGTTCTCGGGTCCCCAAGCAGTGGTGGTCAAATACCTCCTGTTTTCGCTCGTACTTCACGCGCACAGCCCAGTGTTCATAACTATAAAGAAGGACAGACAAGGCTGAAGCACGGTACACGCGAATCTTTGTGGCGACCGGAGGTCACGTTGGATCCATAGGCATTTTCTAAGGCTCCCCAAAACCCGTCGGGCAGCATCGATTCGGGAGAAAATGTCATCCTTACTCTGGCCATTCGGCAGCAGCCTCGCCCCAAGGCATTTAAGACTGTTTACTTCCTCATTTTGACAGCCATCTGCCTTCTGCTGGTCAAGGATGTAGCCTGAAATACTTCAGTCTTCCCTGCGTTTATGGATAAACCGACCGATTTAGCGACCTCGTTCAACCGTGACAACATAGACTGCAGATAACCAAAACTTGAAGCGAGTAAGGCAATGCAATCGGCGTAGTCGAGATCAGTAAGTCGGTGTTCGGGTGCAAATTCAACACCGTCAACTTCGTGTGGGGGGACTCCTGAGAATCTAGCCAATAGTGCAGTTGAACAGAATGGGCGACAGGATACAACCCTGTCGAACGCCAGAGCGAATACCGAACGGTTGGGATTGTTATGGATCAGAACTTGAACAGTGGCGGCGCGTTAATATACCTTAATCATGGCGATTACATTTGCCGGTACACTATCTAGCGCCATTATCTGCCAAAGGGACTCACGATGAACGGAATCGAACGCGGCGGCAAAATGAAGCAGACGGCCGTCGGTTGTTGGTAGCTATGGCGAAATTCAAGAATGCCCCTCAGTGTGAATATCTGGTCTGCGCATCCACGTCCCGCACGGAATCCGGTGTGGTTGGGCCTCGTCCTAGAGTCGCGCACAGCCTGGAATCGCCTGAGTAGGACAATAGCGAAGATTTTCGCAGCAACGTCGATGAGACTTATGCCGCGGTAGTTCTCGCATCTCGTCTTATCTCCCTTCTTGAGGATAGGTACAAAGATGCCTAAGCCCCAGTCATCAGGAACAACCTCGTCTCTCCACGCTCATCCAATCACCTCATGGAGCCAGGGCGCCAGAGTGTCGACACAAGACTTGAAGATTCCAGCGGGTAAACCGTCCTCTTTGGGTGCCTTCGGGGCGCAACTTTCATATGGCATCGACGACCACTCTTTCAGAAGAGGCGTCGCATGACACTGCATAGGTTGGAGAGGGAAGGAACTCGGCTGAAGTGGAGAGCAAGGGCGAGGTGAGTTGGGTATCGAAGTTGAGATGGTGCTCAAAGTGCTCACGCCATCGTTTGACTTTGGCGAGTTGTCAGCAAAAAAGCCGCCGTTCACGTCGCGAACAGAGTCACTCAGTGTAGAGGGCTTACCGTTAACTTGGCGGATCAGACGGTAGAGCCTTCGAGTGTCACCAACGTTCGAGGCCCGTTCCATGAAGGTCGCTATTTCAGCCCAATATTGCTTCCAGTCATCCCTGGCCGATTTTGCCGTCATCTTCCGACGTTGGCGGAAGCAGCCATCGTTACGGGACCTAGCTCGAGCCGTCTGAGCAGACAACTGCAGGGTTCTTCCGCTGATTCAGTCACTGCGGCGTCGCTGGGTGTATCCAAGGTTTTTCTCAGCTGCCCCATAGACTGACGTCTTCAGTGATGACCACTGGTTACTGCCTTCTCCGTCGGCTGGGGTCGTATAACAGTTCCGGATTTCTCTGCTTAGGGCCTCGGCAGTGCTGGCTTGCCGGATTTTTGCGACATCGAGGCGTTGAGGACGTGGCATTTTTGGCGCGGATGAGAGATGAACTTTCAAGCCTGTGTGAACGAGGATATGGTCCAACTCATGAACGTTATAAGTCTCGGCACCGTGCATCGAGCTACTATCGTGAACCCAGCTGTGGAGCCTTGAGCTGACTAGTATGTAATCAGTCTGACTGGCCGTATGACCGTTGTTTAAATACCATGTCAGCAGAGGTTTCTTGCGATGCTGGAAGCACGTGTTGGTGACCAACAGTCTGTTCTGATCAGCGAAGTCCAACAATCTCACGACATTTACATATGGGGTACCAAGTCCAAAGCGACCAATAAGATGACTGTTTGTGGAGTCGCCAGGTCCAGTCCGACCACTCCAAGCCCTAGCAACAGTCAGCTGATCGCGGGCAGGGAGCTGTTCGACTAACGCCAGCAACTGCGAGTAAAACACCTCTTTATCGCGCTGTTCGGCAGTTGAAGTTGGTGCGCACACAGAGACGATGGATATTTTCGGGAAATGACCCTTCAGTCGCACGTAGGCCATCTGGTCATTGACTGGTTCCAAAGCAAGAAGCGCGAGGTCCGCTTGCTGTGCGAGGGCGATCCCCACACCGTATCTACCAGAAGGGTCGCGCGGGCCGCTGTGGTGCATTCTGAAGTGTGATTCGACTTCAGGGATTTTTATTTCTTGTGACGTCGAGAGCCTTTTCGGTCGGCAACATGAAAACCCAAGAATTCCAGAGGTATGAGCCATGGAATTGCAAGCATAATAGTCGGTCGAATATTCAGAGTGCTCGTCGGTTGACAATCAATTTCTGGACTATTTGATAATGGTCGTTAGACGTGGCTTATCTAAAAGGGGTTGTCATAGTAAACTAAAAACAACCTGATTAGCTATAACGCAGTTTTGTGACAGGCAAATAAAGCCAAAAACACAATTTCCTTTAACCTAACACTAGTCCAGTTTTCCAGTGACCAGGAGTGTATTTTGTAGCCTGCGAGAAGAGAGAATCGGTGCTGACAGATTCCCACTGCTCCCTATCTCATCCGCCATTATCAACACCGTTTGATCGTACATTTTCTGCTTCGGAGCTTAGATTTTTGGAATGTCCACTGTGCTCAAACCTTACCTCTGTTCTCGCGTGCTCCCATTCCACCGAGATCGCAACGATTTTCCCAACTAGACCAGTTGCGTGTCGTCTGACTTTCATTATGGGATGCAGGTTTTGATGTACGCCCTACGAACTAACGTTTTCATCACTCCAAGATCCTTTTTATGGGATTTACGTCGTATTTTTTGATATTTCTAGCTATTTAAAGTAGGTGTATACAGCAGAATTCATTGGAACCAATAAATCTCGCAACGGCTTTTCAAGATCTTCTATTACAAAGCACCTCCTCGATAGCGGTCATTCGGTTGACCCCAAAACATCTTTTCGAGCATTAGTTCGAACACGAACAACTCGGTTACTGCGCTACTTGTAGGCAGCCTACATACGGCGGGAGAAAGTCGGCCTATGCAATCAGTTAGACCAAGTGGTCAACCTCAGCTTGCCCTGGTAGATCTGAACACTTCTGATCTGTGAAATCCCTCGTCATGTTAACTTCCCCGTTTTCTTTCCTGTGCTGCGTTTTCAAGTTACCATTTTATTGATTAGTCTACATGCAGGATACCGTGATTTTGCTGCTTTATATTGATTTTCTCTTTCTCACTTTTTATCTGTGTTATGCAACGACAGGCTGCAGTTGATAAGCCGTCGCGAAGTTTACTGGTTCCAATAAATTCTTCTGTCTATACCTGCTTTAAATTAATTCCGCGGAAATATAGCTTCAAATTTCTAGCGATTACTGGCAATGAGGCATGTGTGACGGTAAGCAAAGTGAGAAAGGGACCAAAATTTACGGCATGATTTACCAGAATATAAAGTGCACTGCAGACTAAATGAAACAAACTGGGTCACTCAAACACTCCTAGATACATTTCCATTGACGTTAGTCTCACTGAAGACAGCGTCTGGAACGAACCCAGCTGGTGTCTACCATACACTCATCCTGACATCATCGAAACAAAAGCCCTGATGTACCGTCATTTATGTTCCCTTTCGCACTCCAACTGCCAAAATTGTCAGTCAATTGGGCATCGATAAAATGAGTGCTAGATACCAGATAGAAGCAACTTTCATTTGCATATCCTGTCTACTCCTCGACGACTTAAATCCAAAAAGTTCCAAGCAGGTGAGAATCCACGAAACAGTGAGGAATTTGGGATTCTTTTTTTTATTAAAACAGCTGCCCACCTAAACGCAATATATATTCATATATAGTGCGTGACTTAACTCATGAAATGTGTCGAAATTTATGAATGATTGCCAGTCACTCACAAACCAACACCATTTCATGAGTCAACTGTCTATGTTAATTAAGTACAAGTTTAAAAGAATTAAAAACATAAAAGAAATATTATAGGCAGTGTTGCGTTATTTAGAAATGTCGATTTATTTTGAAAGGCGCAATATCCCGAAAACGTCAGAAATGGCTCTAATTTAGTAAACTTCGTTTTCAAATGTATAGGATGTATTCTCATATCGAACACGTAGTAAATATGAAAGTAGACATAAAATCACGTCTAATAACAGCGTTTCAATGAGGTTTACATCTAAATATCGTTTAATAAGTAGTGTGATTTCTTATATGACGGTTTGTCAACTGCCTACATTCTGGGTGTAGATTCCAAATCAGTTTTCCAGTGTTTCATGATTTATTTAACGATTTGGCGTTCAATGAAATAGCGTTCAACAACAGAAGCTGGATTTTGCTTGATTTCGCCGATGGCGACGTCGTAGGATCAAACGTTTTCATACGGTGACATACTAGGAGGCCGGTCGGTGCCTAATAAATTTAAATAGAACTGACAGGCGTGATCGTAAACATACCATTTTGTGTTTATAGAGAGAACTTTTCTTTCGTGAATTTTTGAATCGGCAACATCAACACGTCGTCAGACGAAATGAATAGTGTGAGAGAGATAATCACATAAGGGAGCTAGGGGGACATCGAGGTTACATTGACAAAACAGAGGTCTATGTGTGGGGGGTGAAGAACGTGTTTGGATAGGTGCCGGAAGTTAGGGGAGGTGTTGAGGGTTTCACCCATGGTCAACTCTATTGGGGAGGGGGTGCTGAATCCGTGATATTCTGCATGGCCAAACACGGATTAGCAGCTGGTGTCTTAAGGTGTGCGCAAGCCTTTGTAGTGAGCGTCCTAGTCGACATGGCGGTTGATGCTGTTGTTATTACATTGCCAAGCTTCGAGAAACTCTCGCGCCGTGTTAGTGTTAGCACTGGCGATCATATCAGTTCCCTCCCAGTTGAAACGGTGATCACACTCAAGGGTGATCAGAAGGGGTCCCGTCGGCGGATGGCCAACTCATGTTCGTTAATGCGGGTCCCAAGACGTCGGCCGTTATGCCCAACACAGACGCTACAGCAGTTTGCACATGGAATGCGGTAAATGAAGTGTGTCTGCTATTCCATCGGTATGGGGTTTTTACTCGGGATAATGTCGTGCCTAATGAGGACGCCGGTTTGTGGGCGATGGAAATGCCGAACTGATTTAACTGTCGGGCGATCGCCTCGGAAATTCTTGGAATGTAGGGCAGGAAGCAGAGTTTCCGTGACACCCTGTCACCGTTGGTAGTGGCGCTTTTTGGTCGTCTCTGGCGTCTGAAACAATTTTTCACAAAGCTCACTGGGTATCCGTTCAGTCGGAGAAACCAATGCAAGTAAGCCAGTTCTTTCTTGAGTAAATCGGCGCTACTGACGGTTTGTTTGGTGGTTAATCTGATAGCTCAGGGTGATCTCAGCGTCAGTGCCTATCCGGTGAACGCTTGTTGCGAGGCTGCCTTCACGAAGCCTTTGTATGCTCACGGGAGGGGGTCTCCTTTTGCTTCTTCACGAGTAAACTGTAGCGCTGAGAAGGGGCCATTCAAGTTCTGGTGAAATCTCTCAACTTCACAGGTCTTGCCGATGACACACTTGTAATCGGCACATCTGAACTACGTTTTAATTGGAAACTTTGTACAACGTCTTGTTCTAGTCGTTGTAAAACTAGTTCTGTGAGTAGCCCCGAAACTGGCGAACCCACTGTGGTGCACTTAGCCTGTCGGTAGTAGTTGCCATAGAATTGGCAATAGTTCTTAAGCAGATCTTAAGCATTTCTAAGACATGGTGTGTTAGAAGGTCGATGGGTTGTCTTGTAGGCGCCGGGCCACAACTTAGTATTGCAGACAGCTGTCTGCTAGCCTAGTCGACTGATTCACGTTTTATGGCCTGGTCGATATGTGTATATGAACATTGTAGTGAGGCCCCTTAGAGTCGGCATCAAGTTAGAAATTATCTGGCTTAAATAAAATTTTTGCTTTTGGAATCATCATAGAGAGGAAGAAGACTACCCCGAGGGACTCTAGATGCTACCATCCCTGACATTGAATGTTCTAAGAACCCGCCATAAAAATTAACCAATAGTCGGTCAGTATTAACAGCCAATGGCCTATCCGGACTTCTCGGTTATACCAAGGTTTGTGCCGTGATCTTCCCAGACGGACTGGCATCTTCGCCCCTTTGTAATTAACACTTTGAACTCGCTAATATGCGAACACCTTTTTGCTTTCTGTCGATGGTAACCTCATCACCTGTCTCTTCCTCGGACCGGTCCTTCACTGTAACAAAATTCAGCCAAGTTCTGTTGATTAAATCCTATGGGCTCGCCACTTGGACCTCTCCTACCCTGATAGTATTCTACTCGCCCAGGGCTAGCCGGGTTGCCCGGTCGCGGGCTAGTATTGCCACTGACTGGGCTTTCTCAGCAATCCTAGCGGACACCGTCCACACGGGGACAGTAGGTCGACGCGCCTTCTCGGGCGAGCTGAGGGCGTCGTAGCCCGAGGCGACTTAAGTCGCCAGACAGGGGCCCAAATTCCGCACAAAGTGCGTACGCGCACCCCGCATTCGTGCGTACGCGCACCCCGCATTCGTGCGTACGCGCAAAGGGACCCCTAGGCATGACGTGTAAAATGCACTCGGGTGAGCATCAAGGGAGGGTGTAGCAGAAAGGCTTCTTTCCTCGCACAGATCGAGCATTGTCCGTCAGTCAGGTTACTAGCTCTGCCCTAGTCCGCAAGCCCAACGGGCTAGAAAATGTCTAGCCCTAGGCGACTAAATGCTATCCGGGTAGCTGGGCAAATTGGAGAGATTCCAACTAAGCGCTTAGATCGGAAAACTTAAACATTACGACCGCTATGTTGATGATATCTTTGCAATTGCCACAACAGGAACCGACGTAGCTGCCCTCTTAAACGCTGTAAAGCAGGCACATCCCTCCATCAAATTCACGTTGAAGATAAAGATGACCGGTTCGCTCCCTTTCTTAGATGTTCTTCTAAGCAGGAGACCTGACGGCAATGTCCGAAGAAGCGTCCACCGGAAGAAAACCTGGTTTGGACAATACGCAAACTTCTCTATTTTCATACCCCTTCAACAACAACGAAATCTAGTCCGAAGTTTGACGCAAAGAGCTAGAAAAATTTGCTCAACAGATAGCATCGAGGATGAACTTGGGAAAATCCAGGACTTCCTTCGTGAAAACGGGTACCCGAACAGGTTTATTGCAAAGAATATGGCCGAACGACCAGTAAAAGCCGCCACACCGACGACCGAGAACAAAACTCTGTTCGTCAAAGTCCCTTTTCAAGGGGACGCTGCGAGTGAACTCCTAAAGAGACGCCTTGATCAAGCTGTTTCGCCAACCTTCCCAGCGGCAAGGGTTCAAGTATCCTTCTCTACTAACCCTATTTTACGCGGAGAAGGTAAGGATAAGTTGCCACCCCAGACCACTTCACTGTGCGTCTACTCCTTCACTTGCTCCTGTGGAGCAGGTTATATTGGTCGCACGAGTCGGCGCTTATCCAAGAGAATACGCGAACACCTCCCGGCATGGCTGGGAAAAGGCGAAACTAGGAGCATAAGCAGCGCCATTTTCGCGCGTGTTGTCGATTCCGGACATCATGTAGACTCCAATAAAGCGCTTCTTGTGATCTATAAGGTCTCATCGAGCTATCCTAAACCACTGGAACAGCGCCTGTTAGCAACAGCAGAGGCGGCCGCCGTCAGGTTCAGAAAATCAATCTTGTGCGCTCAGAAGAACCACGTTCAGGCTCCGCGTCTACAGTGGTCGAAGGTCGACTAACGCTACAGCTCTCCCGCGTCCTTCCGCTCTCACCCCCCTCCCTGACACTGACTACTATTATTCCCCCTCTCCCACATTTCCACACCCAGTCTGTGTTTTAAGGCGAACTTTAGTCAATTTGTCTTACCACTGACGTGCTTTTGCTTCTGCCCTCTTCCCATATAATTGTATTGGTCCGACGAGAATTTATCGAAAGCTACGTATGCACGCCACCTCGTCTTCTGATTACTGTTAAGGAAATTTTCGCAACTCTAAATCCTATGACATCATCCATACATAGATGGTGGACCAGAGTAACCCTTGATAATAGGTCCATTATACTGTGACATATATGCCCTAGTAACAATTCTGGTCGGAATCTGCGCCGAATCTAAACGGAGGTTTGGTGGTTTTGCAAAAATGTGCAAAATGGGGGTATAAACTAGTCACTCGTAGGAAAGCTACATTGTGTTCAATAATATGTACATGTAAGCCCTTCTACGGCTATGATGAGGGGCCGGACGGTCCCTGGACCGTCGCCCTAGGGCGGGGATTGCTGTTGTCTTCTTCCGCCTCGTCTGGAAGTAAATGGAATGATAGTAACGTTTGGGCAATTTAAGAAATTACAATCAGTTTAAGTCATCTTGGAGAAATATAAATTGCAATAGGTCTAAGTATGTGGATGTAACTAACCGTCCACAAGACGTGATGTGGATGACTTGTCCTCGGGTGTTTGTAAGCGGTCGTACGCCCTCCGGAATGCAGTCCGGAACATTTTCTTTAATGGTTGTCGATCCGATTTTTTATCGTCATTCTATCTGGCAAACACATCTATTTTGGCATATTATAATTGAAGAAAATTATGCATGTAGTACCAAGGACCAATGCCTAGGCCGTGGAGCCATAGAAGGTCCGCTTGCCCTGCTGTGATGCGTTATTGCATCAGCAAACAGGGCGCTGGACAAGTGGTCGACAAAAGCGCTTGTGTCCTCTCCGCCAAAACTAGACAAGTGTGAAATCTAGCGGACGAGAGTGAAGGTCAGAGGAAACTTACCACCTGCTGTCGAATGGCAGCGTCCGACATCCAATTCCTGTAGGCAGGCCATGCGCTTAAAGACGGGCCCGCAGGCGGAGGAGCTGGCGTAGACGTTGAGCAAGTTGCCACCCCTTCTTCTGACAGCGCGTCTAGCTTTAAACCAATCTTATGCTTGTATTCCTTGCTGTTCTCAACGAGCCGTCGGAGGACGGCCCTAATCTTAGACCTCCTCGCCTGCGACGACACATGTCTGCGTCGTCGCTCATGTCTGTGGCTCCTGTTCTCGAAGAAGAACAAGTGTGAAGGCCAGGTAAATACCTGTTGCAAGGGGGGAGGACAAACACAGTGGCAAAGTTGAGCTTGGTTCTGTTTGGTTAGATTCGGACTGCTGAAGAAGACAGAAATTATGTAATTGACAATCCTACGGATGACAATGGGATCTCAGGTGCATTTTGTGGGTCCCTTGTGCCTTCATCGTAACGATTCTTGGCTGTACGCCTCGGACGCTTTTTATTCTGACTGTCTTCTTTGCCGGACCTTGCGCTCTACAACGGGGATCTAAACGAAACAAAAGTTAGGCAAACAAACCCCTCATCGTCCGTGTGCCTGCGCGTCTTTGTTAGTCTGGAAATTTCGCTGTTTTTATATGTAACTTGTTGTCACCGGGCATTAGATTGGCCGGACTGCACCCGGGGACTCTTCAGGCAGCCATCCTATTGATCTCTTGGGGCTCGGCTCTCGATGCAGCAATATTGGGAAATTACTTAACCATGCTGATCAGGACCGTCTATTTGTGACCAACTCGTGCTTCCAGCACCACCAGAAACACCCCCTGGCGTGGTATTCAAAACACGGTCATATACCCAGTCAGATTAACTACATTCTAATTGATTCAAGGATCCGCAACTGTTATCACAGTAGCAGATCGATGCGCAGTGCCGAAACCGGCAACGCCCATAAGTTAGACCATATTCTCGTTCGTACACACCCGAAAGTTTTTATTTTAACCTTCATCCAAATTCCTGAATCCAAGACGTCTTGATGTCGCAAAATTACTCCAGCCCAGCATAGCCGAGACTCTGACCACAGAAATCTGGTACCGTCTTGTGATCAGGTTTTAGAGAGAGTAGTAGTATCAGATGGTCATCACTGAAATCCCTAGTCCATAAGGCAGTCGAGAAGATTTTTGGATTTATTCGACGACGTCGAACCGATTGTACCAGCGGTAAGAACCTAGTATTGCGTACACAGACGACTTGAGTCAGGTCCCGCAACGATGAATCCATCCGTCAGCCCCCGAACACGACAGTGAATTCAGCCACAGATGACTGCGAAAAATATTAGGACGAAATAGCCACCTTAATTGGGCAGGCCTCAAACGCTGGTGACACCATGCTAGCCCAAACTGTGGTGACCTGCAGACTGTGGTTTCGCGGGCGAATGAAGTCGCTGAATCATCCAGTGTATTCATAAACCCTGAGGACTGTCCGGTAGTTGTCTCCGGTGAGAAAACAACTAACGTCCTTGACGTGCGGAAGCACTCACCAAAATTGTGAACTGGTGAAATTTTGTCTCCTAACTGCTATGGTAGAGGGGCGCTCACCGATCGTTCTTACGGAACTCACTCGTTCCGTTATGCTTTACGGGCTCTCTCTTGAGCCCAACCAGCATCCCCACGGCGGCGCACAATATAGGCGGAATATTATTACCGTCAAAGAGAAGGGAGACCAGAATAGCCATTTCTGGCTTATTAGTCGTCGTTAGCCAGTCATACCCAACCCCGAAGTGTGGAACACCTGGAGCTCGAACTCGCGACCCTCCACCATTGTATATTCTCGATCGAAACCGACGGGACAACGGGCCCATGGCCCGGTGGTTATAGGCGTTGGACTTCTGACTAACAGGTCGCGAGTTCGAGCTCCAGGTGTTCCACACTTCGGGGTTGGGTATGACTGGATGACGACGGCTAATAAGCCAGAAATGGCCATTCCAGTCTCCCTTGTCTTTGTCGGCAATAATATTCTCATAACTGCTCTTGGCATACACTGGTAGTCAAGCGAATTATTTCACCGTTCCAGCGGCAAGATGTCCTCATTATATAGACCCTCTGATGTACTTTCTGCGTTATCTGGGTCCACCCACGCTGCTCTCAGCTACCGTATTCCAACCTTGCTGTTTGCATCAATCCCAACCCTAATATCTATTCCGTCAGCTCATTGTTCGCACAGACCCCACTGGCAGATATGGTTTCCTGTTCAATCAGGAAAACTCCAACCTGCCCTCACTGTCGATGCACCCTAGTGCCACCACTGGGCATGCGGATCATCTCCGGAGACAGAGTTACAATAACCGCCCAAGCACTCTGCCCATCACCCACACCACAATCGGATGAAGGTGGCTGTTGTTGTTTACGAAAGACGAACCATCCTAAATGTTTCTAACATCGGAGGCAGTTGGATGACTAATATCGGAACCAGAATGGACAAGACCGTAATGGGCGAAACCGGATACTTTGGTGGGGTCCTCTTTAGCTTCTGTGCTGCGGGATATTTAGGTGCACTCCTCTAGGCTATTGGTGCTTGGGTCCTGCTTTGTACATTGTTATTCCAGTTTGCTTACTTTGCAACTACTACTATTTTTAGATCCCATTTCAGACGCATTCATGAATCCGCCCTCTCCACCTGCCTCTTCTTTTCTTCACTACAGCACTTTTTGAGCACATGACTGAGGATCGCTTACATAAGACTGAAGAGGAGGAGAAAAATAATGATAAAGCCGTCGTGCTGTTCAAAAAGGCGGACGAAATCATGGACATCAATCTTCTGCACAAAGGTTTTAATCTGCACAATCGTCCGCGAAATTATCTATGTCGGCGGACAAACATTGAGGAGGTAGTCTATCACGCCGTGATGGCTGATACCATTAAATCGCCCTACACGAGGTATTTGTGCATTCTTATTGTTTACAGCTTTTTAGTTTTAAGATGGCCAACCAGTATCTCTCCTTTCTATCCGAGTTTGATGTTCTTGGAGGAATGCGTGTAAGTTTGCGTACCTCAGATTCAGTCCTGTAGCCCATCAAAAGACTAGTTGAAATGGTTTTCGACCAGAAGATGCGTACATCTACCATCGTTCATAAAGTTGGAAATCTACTTCTCCTGGATGAGTTTGACATTGACTCCTTCATTCTTACAAGTTCTTCATACGTATGTGCGACTATAAAAGTATCCACCTAAGCATTAGGGTTCCTGGCCGTGGTTGAGGGAGTTTATGTTCAAGAATAACCTTAATTTGAATGAATCTGACTTCACTCGCCAAGTTCTCCAAATGAGAGACCTATACATCAAGTTCCTCTATCACACGTAAGTTGAGTCTGACATGTCATTTCTGGCGCTTAGAGTTGGCCATCAGGGCGCTCCCACTCATCTGCTTGCTTCAGAGCCGCGGTTTCAGATGTTGGAATTCGATCGAAACGACGAACAACACCATCCAAGCACCTCGGCAACTAGCTACAGGGGAAACGGAGCTGTAATCTCCACCTCCCCCTCACGAGTGTCTCAACAATCCCGTGACCCTAATGCTTCCACCACCAGCCCCGAGTCAATGCCTTCAAACTCTCGCAGTCGTCTCTCACATAATCCCGATGACTACCTGCGCATGGCAAAGTGGCGACTCGATGACCTCAGCTTTCTCGTCGGCTCGGATATGGCCATATTCGGGACAAAGATGCACCCCTGCATTAGTTTGCGCTTAAGGTTGCCGGTTTAGCTGAATTTCTTTTCATATTCTGTGTCCATTTTCCTCTTAGTAATTCCTTATATTTTTTTTCGGTGTCTCTGTCCCCGTCGGCATATTTATGGGGCGGGCTCACCGCTCTTTATGTGTTTTATCTTAACAACCCTACGGACCGTGTTTTAGCTGGCGTTTTAGGTAGTTAGCATGTCCTTGGTTTGGTTATGCGTTTTCATGAGTCTAACACGTTGACTTTTGTAAGCTATCTGAAAACAAAACGGAAATTTATAGAGTAACAAGTCTGGTTTTTGCGGTTCTGCCACCTCAACTTGTGCTTACTTGTAATTAGTACGGCTGCGATCGTGTACTTCTCCACGCGTCACGATCCGCGGCAGCAGATCCGAAGGTCCGAGAACCACTTTTATCTCGTGACGGACTGTGTCGAGCCAGGTTTTGAGTTTACCACTCCTTCGACGCATCCAAGTGGGTAACGGTGCCGAGTCGAGAGCAGCAACACTGAGCTCGTGAAGTGAAGGCCGAAGAACTTGTCCAAACCACGGCAGTCATCTTTCTTGAATGGCCTGAGATGTCTTTGCGATGTTGTCTCAGAGAGTGCAGACTGCCTCACTTAAGGCGAAGTCGGTGTACATCACTTGGAGGACGGCCCTCAAGCAGTGGTGGTCAAATACCTCCAGTTGTCGCTCGTCCTCCACGCGCGAAACCCAGCATTCAAAACCACACAGAAGGACAGACCGGGCAGATGCCCGGTACACGCAAATGTCCGTCGTGATGGAGATGTCGCGTCGGATCCATAGACACTTTCGATTCGGGAGACAATGTCGTCCTTACACTGTCCAGTCGGCAACAGAATCACCTCGAGGTATTTGGAGCTGTACGTCTTCAAGTTGACAGCCACTTATCTCTAGAGGTGTTCTCTCCTGGTCAGCGGTGCAGCTTGAAAACACTTTGGTCTTCCGGGCGTGAATGGATAAACCGACGACTTAGTGATCACTCTGCCACCTCTGATAGGGGTAATCGAAGCAGAGCTCTGGCATAATCGGGCCCTTGGATGACCGAAGGACTATGGTGCGCGCATTCTGGACGGATTTGTTGGGAACCAGGGGCACCGAGAGAAGTGACTTCTCGTCCAACAGTTCGGCCGTCGTTTCCGACGATGCCCACTGTGTGCTCCACAGCAGGATGGCACCGGCGACGATGACTTGCACGTGAGTTTAGTTATAGTAATAGCAGACTTGCACAGCATCAACGACACCCATCTCTTCCCCACCTGAGCCCAGTGTCATGACAGCATCAAGAAGACCTAAGGCACGGCGAAAACCTGCCCCTTATCGCGTGTCATCACACCGGGTCGGATCCAACTGAGTGGGAGTGCCATAGAGGCCACACCAACAAGGTGCCATCGCAATGTGACTTTCCCTCCACTAAACGGCCATTCCACACAAACACACACTGGGCTGACTGCGGGGTCCCAGGCTGTCTTGTCAGTCGGCAGCCTTCCCAGCCACGGCTTTTAGCTCACCGTGGTAGATTCAAGCGAGTCAGTATGCTCCGAGATCGTCGACCTGAATCTCTCTCCCCATTCCCAGGCACCAGTCCGCTGTCCGAGCTGGTCGGTTGTCTGATGCGGGGAGTGGGCGCAGTGGCTAGAGAGTCTGTCTGCACGCGCCACATGCACGACCTGGTCCCTCAAACGCGCACACCGGGATTACGCACAAAGGGGGGGGGGGAGGTACTCGGTCAGGATCCCAAGTGTGTGAGAGAATGCTATTAAGAAGGAGCCATTGCGGTCTGACTTGGTCCACCAGTCGGCCACTCGACCTACAAACACACAACTGGCCTCGTCGAATTTGAATGTGTGGCCGGATCTCGTCGAATGAGCTGCAGCTTAAGAGCTGGAAACTGGAACTGGTGCACCGGTCGTCGTGCAATGGATTCGCAAGTGACCAACTAGGCCAATGCGTGAGGTAAATATGCCATCTGAATGAGGATAAGTTGGGACCGAGTCCACATCACGGGGATGGGGACTGACGGGACGTCGGGAGCGTTCTTACCGGTGGAAAGAGTGGAGAAAGTTGTGTTCCTCGTGGCCGCAGGGGTTTTGGGAGGAATGACGGAGGGAACAATGGTCGACGGCGTCGGGACACGGAGATTCTGTGCATCGGCGGGGAGGGGGGGCGTCGTCGTAGACGCCGTTGAGGTCAGGAAAACAGCAAAAATAGCAGTATATGCTTAGAACGAATGGTCTGTTCTGAAACTGGCCTGGACTGTACGCTAGACGTGGGAAAACCGCAGTGCCGTAAGTTTTTCTGACGATTTTGGATGGTTACTATCGTTGTAATTAGTGCGTCCCTGTTGCTCCAATGCATCTACTGCGTGGCCCCTTAGAGGGGCACAACGGGGGAGGACCAGATCAGGACACGGCAGGTGTTATTGGGGATGCGCACCCATGACAGATGCCAAGCAAGGAGAGCGTGATGGCACGCCTAGGCGCAGGATCTCGTCGTGCCGGCCACCTACATCTGGTCCTGCCTCCAGTCTTCTGAACTCTGTCATGACACCGGACCCAGGAGGATGAGAGAAGAGAGTGCGATAGATTCTGCACAAGTCTGTCGTCATTACAAACCAATTCACGCGCAAGTCACCGTTCCTGTCCCCACCTTACTGTGGAGCACACGGCTGGCATCATTGGAATCGACGGTCGAACTTCCGTGAGTGCGCTCGTATCCCAAGTCCGTTGGAGCTGGTTATTTTGATTGATTCCGTCGTGTTCCATGTCCCGTTGCTTTTAGTATGCTTGGGCGCCGATAACACTGCCGCATCGAGTTATCCGTGAATGCAGTGTTTTTGGAATTCCATTGACTGCATAACCGGATATTTTCAGTACAGGCTTGTAGAACATGATGTTTGTCACCGGATACGTAACTACTGCTACGATTAGAAAGTTCCAGCTCATTCCCGTCAAAGCCATTCGGTCCCCTATATGTTCCCGTCAACCTTGTCTGCCAAGCAGACTAGAATGACTTTAGGCATATCCCTGACGATAATCGGCGTAAATGTGAGCCTAATTAGGATGAAAAATTGCATCCTTTCTAAACCAACATCAATTAGCATTATTTAAAACCGTTTTTGCCTTAGCTTACGTCGTCAAGTTTTATCGGTAATCTCTTCAAAAAAAGGATGAGCTGTCTGTATCTTTCTCATTCGTTACCTCTGTTATGCAGCGACAGGTTACAGTTGATAAGCCGTCGCGAAATTTTTTAGTTCCAATAAATTCTGCCGTGTATGCCTATTTCAAATTCATTCCGGGGAAATATTCCTTCAGATTATACAAATGTGTTTTGGATTTGTACTAAACGAAACAAATGTACGCATTCTGCACACCGACTAAAATTGCACATATTAATCAGAGACAGCAGACCTGGCGGTATGTATTCTTCACCACTGTGAAGCCTCAACCTCCTATCCACTGGCCATATAGACATCTGCTTTGTGAAAAGCTCCACATATCCTATTTTGCGAAGCACAGCTTGCGTCCAAATCCAAGGATGCCTGTGCACAGTTGCTGGGATCGAAAAAAAGTAATGCTAATTTACTGCGCACTTTACCTCGTTAGCTTTCTCTATATTTATCAGACAAGAGGAGCAGATCATGACAAATCCTTGTTTTTTTACATTCCTCTTGACTAGTCCGCTTCATGAACCTATCAACGTACTCACCGGAGTGGATATCTGGTTGGAGAACATCCTCAATGAAGTCCCCGAGGTAGCCATGTGCTTCCACAACGAGGGCATAGTCATGCAGGAGTACGAGATCTACAAGACATGTGACCTCCCTGCACTTACTTGCTTTCACCCGGAACACATTCTTCGCATTATTCGAAATCTCATCATGTTTCTGAAGCGCAACGCCACACAAGAGGGACACACCTACTGGTTGGTCAGGGAGGCCGGTTTCGATGTCGTCAAGCTTTACGATTTGACGGTTCTGTGTGAGAAGCCGCGGCGGTCATCCTCCGTTAGCCCGGATCCTGACTCAGATGAGTCTGACGGTAGGTTTGTCGCTGTCTATGTGTCCCTGATATCCTGAAGTACGCTTCTTGGGTTACCCCCTGATTGTCAATAAAAGCAAAGAGACGATTCCCAGGAAGCAGTCTTAAAGAAGGAGACACGATCGCTGGGACAAGAGCTTCATTAGCCTGACGTTTCGGATTCCTGCTCGAACCCATCATCAGAGACAAAGCAGATACGGGTGTTTCATGCATAAGGGGCTGTATGCACAATGGTATACAATGGTATTGTATATTCCCGATCGAAAACCGACAGGGCAACGGGCTCGTGGCCCAGTGGTTAGAGGCGTAGAGTCCGAGCCTCGGGTGTTCCACGTTTCGGGTTGGGTATGGCTGGCTGACGACGGCTAATAGGCCAGAAATGACCATCCCAGTCTCCCTTGTCTTTGTCGGTAATGCCATTCTGCCTATGGTGTGCGCCGCTGTGTGGCTGCTGGTTGGGCTCCAGAGAGTGCCCAGAAGGCACAACGGAACGAGTGCGTTCCGTGAGAACGATCGGTGAGCGCCCCCTACCATTATATATATATATATATGCATACATATATACATATATTCGAAAGAAATAAGCTCTTTGGGAAAGATAAACAAGTTTTATTTTAAATTTTTGACCTTGGTTCCCCAAGTCATCCTCAGACGTGAAGTAAGTATGTAAAACAGTTAACATTTAAACGTGCCTAAAAAATCGATTTTGCCCTGTCACCCCTGCTGGCGTAATGTTCTGATTGTCTAGTGCCTTTTCCACTTTTCCTTGAGGCTGTTGTACACCGCATCCAATTCCACGTGTCGGTTGATGCATGCTTTATCATAATGGATGGCCTCTAAAAATTCACGGCCCTTCGTAGATGAGCAGACACCTACAATGCAAGTCCTGCCGCAGGCGAATTTGTGTCCAGTTTCCAACGTATGCATGACAACTTCGGACAAGTGGTCTCGCCTTTTTACGGCTAACTGATGTTCGTGTATTCGTGTAGAGGCCGATTTCCCAGTTTGCACATTTACGTCACGTCTGAAGACGACTTGGGGAGCCAAGAGCGAAAATTTACAATAAAAGTTGTTTATCTTTCCCAAAGAGCTTATTTATTTCAAATTATGATTCTTGGGATGCTGGGGGTCCCACGGAAGAGCCGAACCCCTCGCAGCTGTGTCACGCAGCGGCAGAATATCGGCGAAACACGTGTCTGGGCTTTTAGCAAGTATCTATGTCGGGTGTAAGGTATAATACATTTACCATATATATGCGTAAGTATTGAAAGGTAGGCATCCCAAGCGATATAAGTTGAAAAGAGATGGGTTCTGTGGGACAAGAGGGTTTATTGCGTAAATTTTCGACGCTGGTTCCCCAGGTCATCGTCAGACGCAAGCGGAAAGCAAATGTGAAAGCGAGAAACAGCTAACGTCAAGAGTGCACAAAAAATCGATACTTGCATGGCGTGTGCGCCGGTTGGCGGCCGCCGTGTATCAGCCTGAGCTGGTTGGCTCCCTTCTCTTCCATTTCTCCTTCAGGTTTCTGTACACGGCATATCGAGTTGGATGCCGTGTACAGAAACCTGAAGGAGAAATGGAAGAGAAGGGAGCCAACCAGCTCAGGCTGATACACGGCGGCCGCCAACCGGCGCACACGCCATGCAAGTATCGATTTTTTGTGCACTCTTGACGTTAGCTGTTTCTCGCTTTCACATTTGCTTTCCGCTTGCGTCTGACGATGACCTGGGGAACCAGCGTCGAAAATTTACGCAATAAACCCTCTTGTCCCACAGAACCCATCTCTTTTCAACCATATATATATATATATATATGTAGAGTAGAAGTGGTAGGCATTCCGAGACGATATAATGAAAAGGAAGGAGGTTCTTCGGAAAAAATCGAGTTGTACAACTCGATTTTTTCCAGCGTCCACAGAAAAGACTCCAGCGCCGAAATCATCCTCAACTACGGGAGTAATCATCCTGCGGCCCACAAAAAAAGCTGCGTTCGAACTCTTTTTCACCGAGCCTTTCGGTATTGTAGCAGCCAGTATCTACTTAAGAGAGAGCTAGCCTACTTATACCAATTATTCCGATCTAACGGATATCCGATTAGCTTCGTGAAAAACTGTCTCAGACGTCAGAGGCAACCGCAAGAACAGAGTCCAAGTGGAGAAGCGACACAGAGGAAATATTATTCCCTGCCATACATGCGAGGAATTTCTGAAGTGATGGCCCGACAACTAAACCGGTTTGGCATCTACATTGCCCACAAGCCGGCGTCCTCCTTACGCGCAGCACTATCCCGGGCAAAGGATCCCATACCCAAAGAACAACAAAGTAACGTCATTTACCGCATCCCGTGTGCTAATTGCCGTTGCGTTTATATTGGTCACACTTGGGACTCGCATTAATGAACACAAGTTAGCTATCCGCCGACGCGACCCCTTATCTCTCGTGTTTACCCACGCTCTTGATTGTGACCACCGTTTCAATTGGGACGGTGCCGAAGTGGTCGCCATGGCTAACACTAAACATGCACGGGAATTCCTCGAAGCTTGGCACTCCGGTGCAGATAGTATTAACCGCCTTGTTGACCTTGATGTCCACTACGAGGGTCTCCGATCACGGTGGACTGACTGGCGTCCACCTTAAGAACAACACCAGCTAATGCGTGCCCGGACATGCATGATCTCGCCGACACGCCATTCCTACCACCCTGCCCTACTCCCCCTCCCTCCCCCAACACGGTGAGCCACAGCTTGGACCCACAACACCTATCCTCACCTCCCGCAGCCATCACAACACAATGCACACCTCCCCCTCACAAGGTCGTCTGCTTACCTCTCTGTCTGCGTCCTCAACCAGCAGTGTGACAATGCCACCTCTCACTTTTCACTTTGTCTGACGACGGGTTGGTGCAACCAGCTCGAAAATTTACGAGTAAAACTCTATTTCCGACGGACTTCCTTCTTTCATCATATCATCTCGGAATGCATACCACTTCAGTTATTCAGTCGCGAGTTATTCATTTATTCAGTCGCGAGTTCGAGGCTCGAGTGTTCCACACTTCGGGCTTGGGTATGGCTGGCTGACGACGGCTAATAAGCCAGAAATGGCCATTCCAGTCTCCCTTGTCTTTGTCGGTAATGCCATCCTGCCTATGTATCATATATATATATATATATATTATGACAGTGGGCGCTCGCCGATCAGGTTACGGAACATGCTCGTTCCGTTGTGCCTTGGGTTCGAATCTCAAGTGATCCACACTTGGGGTTGGGTATGACTGGCTGATGACGGCTAATAAGCCAGAAATGGCCATTCCGGTCTCCCTTGTCTTTGTCGGTATCATCTCATATATATATATATATATATATATCAATCTACCCGCATACATATATATATATAAGCCGACTTAGGTGTTGCGTATTATGACGCATGGCACCCTGGGTCATAAGGACAGCGAATATTCGATTGACGCATCTGAACTTACTTGGTCGCTACTTGTTCTCCGTCAGGCGTTAATCCCTTCATCCTGCCCGTCGCCTCCCTCTGCTACAAACTGGCCGAGCGCAGAGTACAACAACGCGAACTCTACCTGAAACGTTTCTCCGCTCCTGACAGCGCTAGCGGTAACTGTAAGACTCCCGCCCCCAGCATATCTCTGACCTCTCCAACTAAGTCCTCAACTCGTGGGACCGCGGCGGCATCAACGGCAAGCTCCGAGGAGACGGATATGGATCGCTACGTGGAGGACCTGCGGCTCTTCCTCACCGATGTCTTTCGTCTTCTCCGCAACTGTCTGAATCTTATCGGCAAGATTGAAGAGGCAACCGCTACACGACCACCGGGGCGTCGCTCCTCCCAGTACGATCAGGTGCCGTCTGTTAGTCCACATGCTGACCTCAAGGCACGTGCAGTGCTGCTTCTTTGCCAACTTTATCTCTCCACTCCATCCGAGGATGTTATCGCCTGTGCAACTTCTCTCCAGAATCCCACCGCCCCCACCCAAGAGGTAAACTTTTGGCCTGAAATATGCAGTTCCATTTATGTGAGAAAAGTTCAGGGATGGCCCCCTGAAGTACTTGAATTCGAAAATTTACGTCTTCATCTATCCCTTCGACACACTAATTTAGGGTTCCAGTATCATTCCGGACGATATATGAAGTCGTATTAGATAGATAGTGACCAATATTTACCACCCCAAACTACCGTTTTAACTTGTGACCTCTGTTGAAGAAGTTCATTTTCCGGACCGGTGTCTGGTCGTGCCTGAAGGTATTGCTGATGCGTAATTTACGGCTGCTTATTTGTTTGATCTGAGGGCGTATTCACTTCGCAGCAGGCCTTCGCGAAAGGTCGTTTCAGTATCTGATCCCTGTGAGAGCGCCGGACAACCGGCAGCTAGACTGATAAGCAGGCTCTGTCTTCTCCAGGTTTTGTATCGTGCGTCAGTACTCGTGCTTTGCACATTTACTGGCTGTATGCTTTTATGCTGCCGCTGGCTTTGTCACCCCTCTGTCTCACTTTTGTCTCCAGTCACCGTCCCGCATGGCCGCACTGTAGGCCCCCCTTTCTTTTCCTGCCAGGTTTTGACGATGGAACTGTCTGCGTTCGCGACCGGTAATGACGGCACACATCAACAGCAGCAACAACAACATGATGCAGCCATTGAAGAGGTCCCAGCCCCCTGTGACCAACTGGATCGCAGAACGGCCGGCGGAAGAAAACGCATTTGCCTCGGTGATTCAATAATTGACGCCTTCAAGTCTACGAAGACTGACCAAGTATCCAGTCTAGCGGTTGCTGTGAGTACCTCTGTGTGTCTTTTTGGTCATCTTAAAGTCCCTTTACCTCGATCGCATCGCTCCATAGTTGTATTGCATACTTATTTTGATGATTTTTGGCCTTCTGGTGCTGATTTAAGACGTTGCCCGCATCTGATAATGCATTGGCTCAACGGTGCAAGGGCAACATACTGCTAAACAGATTTCATATTGACCCAACTGTGAAAAACTCGACGCCTCGGTGGGATTCGAACAGATTTGGCAAGTCCAAGAACTCGTCATTTATTGTATGTAACCTATCGGGTATTACTTCATACAGGAAAAGTCGTAAATAACTGAACGCACAGTCATGGCCTTCAGTACTTTTCAGTTCTTTTACGAGGACATTTTTCGTATATTCTTCGGCCAAAAAACTATAAGCACTCCTTACAATTTTGGTCCGGTACAGCGTTGTCTTGTCCACTCTATGGATGCACCCATTGACGAACCGGCGTAAGTAGCCATTTGTTCATCCCTTCAGCCGCTCATGGGTTCCACCGTCAAATGTAAAGTGCCTTTTGTGACAGTACTCCAGAAGTTAAAGGAGTTCGGCGTGCTCAAGACGATTCTCCGTTTCATCATATCTACTCTTCAGAATTGATTCAATGTCGCGAATTCCAAATCCTGTAGAATACGAGTAAAGATTGACGTGACATAATAATATGCCGTCATTTCGTTTGGCAGGAGGCGTACTTCACAGGTCTATCCAAGAATTCTGTTGACGTACTGGCTGTAGTTGCTGAATTAGCAACCTGAACTTTGAGACGCCGGAGCAACAACCACTGACAGTCTCTAAACTGGAGTGCCTTTAATTCATATGACAGGTCTGCAGCGGGCTCCGTTCATTGAGCGCCTTGCGAAACTCCTAGGCCGTTTTTTGGGCTCTCGCCATGCGCCGATCCGTCCCAATATTGCACCCGAGTCCTGTATGCCAACAGCATTGCATAGATTCATATGGGACATGGAACTGGTGAATCTCCTGACTTCATTAAGGCTTGGACCACAGGGGGTGAGGATGTCGAAGAAGCCACATTATAAAAAAAGCCATGGTAGCCTGACCCACAGTTCGGAGAAGAATTGAGCTATCCATTCAATTGGCAACCTTTGAAGGCACAACTTTTAGCGTTCAGTAATAGTTTAATGGCTTTTCAATGTTATTATCGTGAAAGCACGCACTTCACCAGTTTAGCTCCCTTCTCCATCTGCTATTATGTACTTCTGGTATGTACAGTAGGTGTGCTAACTCATGAAATGTTTGCCGAAATTCTGAAATGCGTTATCGATTCGAAAATATTACTCAGGTAACGTTGTAAAATTAATCATCGTGCAGCATAATTCTATAATAATTCAGTGACCTCGGGATGTCGGCTTTCAAACGGACTTCTTTCCGGTCTCACGCAAAAATCGTACTTTGTAAAAAATGACTACTTAAGTACCACACATTTTTCTCAGTGATTTTTGATGCCCTTAAAAATTCAATTATAATTTGCGGAAAACATGCATAAAAATATTCATTCTGACGAATGGAAGAGAATGTGCGCATCCCAGGTTCTTGTCTAAAAGAAGACGAAGGCACGATCACTGGGACGGTAGCTTTATTGGTCTTAGCTTTCGAACTCGAGTTCGAAAACTACGGCCAATAAAGCCACCGTCCCAGTGATCGTGCCTTCGTCTACTTTTAAATATTCATTCTTTTACTCATTTGGTAAAAATTACGTTTGCTTCCAACTTTATGCTCAAAGAAAGGGTATACCCTTTCTTCGAGCATAAAGTTGGAAGTTGGTTTTCAAAAACTTCAATAACTGAATAACTTTGAATCTACCATCAAATTTGCATTCAGGGTTTCCAAACTGCAAGCCACATATTTTTCGCGTACGGAAGCCATACATTTCTCTACGGTATTACGAGGAGACCAAATGGGGTTCGTAAAATTTAGCAGCGGATTTGAGCCATATTGTAAACTTTACAAACCGCATTAGCAAATGCAGAGACAAGATGTTTTATGAACGGGCATTTCACGGTATCAAAAAATCTCATAATTAGAAACTTTTTAAAAACCAAATTATGCCCTGTCTTCGAGTATGAAGTTGGAAAAAGACGTCATTTTCTACCAAATGAGTAAAAGAATAAATATTTTATGCTTGTTTTCCATGAAATAAAGTTAAATTTTTTAGGGCATCGAAAACCACTGAGGAAAATGCGTGGTACTTAAGTAGCCACTTTTTACAGTGTGGTTTTTGCATGCTGCCGGAAAGAAGTCCGTTTAAAAGCCGGCATCCCGAGGTAACTTTTCGAAACGAAAACGTATTTCAGAATTTCGTTTAACACTTTATGAGTTAGCACACCTACTGTATGAGTCAGTGACTGAAAGATTATGACACCTGACGCACCGCCTAACGTGGCTGGAGCCTCTGTCCAACACATGCTGATTGTCTGCGTGACCGCTGTTTGGTCGTGCGCTACTGTGCGGCTCGTCTTGGTAGCCCAGCGTTGCGAAAGACTCTGGCTAGGCACTGTCAGTCCGATAGCTCGGTTTCTAGCACTGGTGTTCCTAACCCTAGAAGAGATCCATGGGGCTTTATCGGCGGCGACACCTCTGTCGGTCGTCGGAAACGACGCTGCACGGCCTCTACACAGTGGGGATTTACCTACGGACCACTCCACGGAGAATCAACACTTTGTTGTCCCGCTGCCCTCATTTCCTCCGCTCCGGATGTCGTAGCGATCGGAAGTAAGACCGTGGCTCGTAGTCGCCTTAACGGCACTCACTTACCTGTCGGAGGTCATCTAAACTAATAGGCTGGTTTATTGGCCAAGTATTCTGCAGTTGGCGTCAGCATCGAGAAGAGCGCACTGCCGACCCTGATCGGGAATACTTGTACTGAGAACTGTACTATAAATTTATTCGCATACTTTGTCTGTCCGCAGTACCTTGAGGCTTGTTCCTTTTTGTGTTAGCTATTTGAAGCAGTCTGCTCGCCAGAACGAACAACAATCGCGGACTCCATGCCGCTGAGCCTCGCCGTCGTGCCACCATGGCAGAGCGAAAGTGGCAGCACCACTGCTGACGGCCAGGAATCCAGCCTCCAAGTCTACACAGAACGCCGGCATAGAGCCAGGAGAATGATGCCCTTCGTCTTGGCACGTAGCGCTCTCACCCGCGCTGGTCGCCTCTGGACGCGTGTTTTTGGTGCCACAGCCCAGGGCCTGGCGCCGAACCTCCTCAGTCGCCTTTTCGAAGCCGTCCGCCTCTCCTTCTGCAGTCTCTTCTACTTTGGTGAGTAGCCTACCTTGGCATTTTCTGTCCGACCCCTGTTACGTATCGTCACATTGCTTTCGCTGGCCGCATCGCCTGGAGTTTGCACGGGTTGCTTCCCCTGTTGTGCTGAGGATTTAGCTCATTTTCGGCAAAAACGCTGTTCTTTTCTCTGGAGCTGCTTCGCCTGGATTACCGTATGGCTTGGGGTTTTATCTTGTATATGCGCCCTTGAGACTTGGGGGGGGGGGAGGTTGACACGAATCCGCAGACCCGTTTGCCCTACTGGGGTCTATCTTACGACCACTTTGTCTAAAACTGGTAGCGCATCCATCCTTCCTTTTTGTTGGCTGTACTAGTTTTATCAACCAGAAGTGTTGTCGAGATTTGTTATCACTTAGCGAACTGACAACTCTCCCCATAAAGCTCTCAGAACTTCAAGTCGAACCATGATCGCTTAGGCATAGCCGTAATTGGAAAACCTAACCGTAATACTGAAACCTAGTCGTACGCTCAAACCTTAACTGTAACCTTAAAACCTAAGCCTAAAGGAATAACCCTAACCCGAAAATCGGAAACCATTAACCAGTACCCTTATCCTAACCTCAAACGTAAAACGGAAGCCAAATGGGTCAGATGTGATTATGGAGCCCCACAAAAAAGCCCCAGTAAACAACCCCCCTCCCCGCCACCTGTAATACGGGTCCTGACTACCAACTGCGATCCAGCCAGTTTTACCAACCAAAAGTGTTGTCGCTTTTGTGAGTTGATTTTAGCGTTTTTCCCCTTTCCCGAAATACTGTCGTCTGGCAAACTGTGGAGGTCTTGATGAGTTGTTGACCGCTCTTTTCGCCATATGAAGCCTGCTTTGGTAACATTTCAACACTCGGCTTCTTTTTGTTTGATCAGTAATAGTTGCGACGTTGCTGACGGCAGTTCATCCCTCCCTTTGTTACATCTCTTCCTTGCTTAATGCGTTTTAGAGCATTTACTGCCTGATGAATCCAAATGCCCACACTGTGGCCACACCAGCCAACCCGACGACATCGCATACCTGCAACAGCAGCAACAGGAGTCTACTGTCTCGTCAACCTCCCCGATTTACCTTCTCGCATCCGCTCGTCGCCTCGCCCTCCTTGCCTTCCACACACTAGAGGATGCACGCCAACTCAGTTCTCGACCTTCCTCTGGCTCCTGGCCGGCGCCAAGTGCCTCGGAGGCCGCTGCGGATCGTGGTTTTTTGTTCGACAACCTTTTGGCCCTCTGTCCGCCAGGACACCGGCTTCTCTTGTGTCAGGTGGACGGCGCCATACATGGGCCAGCCTATTCTCAACACGTCTGCAAGTCGTTGTGTGTAAGTTGCAATGCGTTAAGATAGGTTTACATCATTTACTTGTTGGTGTTACTGGTTATGTGCCCATTTGCAAGCGTTCTAACAGGTAAACGTGGAGTAGGCGTACTCCAACTAAATGGGCGTCACTTCCACTTACATTGGAAAAGCAAATTTAACAACTCACATATGCACGTCTGGTGGGTAGTGGCTGTCGCTTAATTGACCTCCCAGCGTATGAAGGAAGCTACACGGGGACCACTTTTAACCAGTTGAGCCACGATTGCGCATTCCGACCCGCGTCCAACCACACCGCGTTACAGCGACAATACGCGAAAAGCCAACTCCGACAGCCGTCACCTTTCCTTAGACCTCAGAACCAAGTCCTTATTCATCCCACTTCTTTGGTGCGTTCAGACACTTTCGGCCCTCTTCCCCATCTATTTTCATTGATTTTTACTCTTTCATGACCCTACCATGGGGTTTATTATTATATCATATATATCACATATGTCATATACACCTAAGAAACATATGTTCGCCGACTTCGACTTGGTGAATTTTATTCATTTCTTGACACTTCCTCAAAGACCAATTGGACAATTGTGCTCTTCACTTCATCAGCGTACTGGGGGTCCCAGAATCGGCAACAGTCAAACTTTCCTGTTCTTATAAAATCTCGATTTAAGTTCGCCGTAACTCTGCCTCGATCTTGAACGGAAACCCCCGCTCGACTGCACGAAGTAACAAAACCTCGCCCTACTGGAAGTGTTGACGTGCCGCTGGTGCAGCAAGCTTTGAGTTTACTTTCACGTCCCCGTAAGAGCGGTGGTCTTCATCGTTAGTAATTGTAAAAAGTGAATTAAAGGTTTTAAATGTCCCCTTTTTTCTGGCACGGTACCGGCCCGCCAACTATTTTTGATCTAATAACAACCTCACTTAATTCTTTTCAGTAGTGCACATTTTCTCATTTGTAGTTTAGTACACACGTAGTTGCTTGTCAAGTTCAGGATAGGCTTTTTAATTACATCGCCAATTATCCTCAAAGTATACCAAACAATGGTACTGATTGAATGCGTGAACGAAAGGTTTTATTCCTATAAAATACACACTTGTTTGATTTGGCCATGTTACGCTAGGGTTTATCCGTGGTAAGTCGCTTAGGATTAGCATTTAGGGTTAGGATTCAGGGTCAGGCTTAGGGTTGGGGTTAGGGTTATGGTTAAGTTTGCCTGCCGCATACCGTCCTGTCCAATCTGGTGTTCCTTGATCAATAATCTTTGATTACCACTTTTGCTGGCCGCTTAAACGTCACCTAATTCGCAACTTTCAGATTGCGCGGTCTGTTCCAGTACATCGCTGCAGTAGTTAAACAAACATATGGCTGAAATGCGGACTTTCTCAAGGCCTTCTGTAGAATACTTTATCTGTGGCATCCGTCCACCCTATTGATAAAACTAACATAAACATCCTTCCTGTATTACAGGAGCGCCTCTGTGCTCCGTTTTCTCAGTGGACTTACATATTCAGTTCTTGCTCAGTCGATGTTGATTTCTTTTGCAGACTTTCACCTCTCCAACTGAATGTAGTCTCGCATCTTGGCTGGACTGCTTGGAGACGATTATGTATCGCTGTCTCAAATACCTCCTCCCTCTGTTACAATACAAATCACCGGCGAAGCGTACTGCCAGGGACGCGGCCGCAGAAGGCCTGGCCACCTCCAAGGAGTTCAACTCCCAGGTTCCACTCGCTTCCCTGCCTAAATTCTGGCCAATCAGTCTGAACCTTTTCCTCTCAGGTCTTCGGAGGTACTGGGAAATCGTCCAGAGTTCCACTGAAGTGGGTCATCTTGTCTGTACATATGTACTTATTTTTGAATCTGACTTCAATTTTAACAGGGCTTGTTTTTTGGAGCCAGCGACAATGTCGCTTCAGAAGTTAAGAAGTAATATTGGGCAAATGTCGCTTGTTCTGTCCCTCGCCGTTAAGTAAGACAGTGGGTGGAATTGCAACAACTGCGTTTGTAAGCGGTGGGAGAAGAGGCGGGCGGAAGGTATGGACTTCTAAGTGCCATGTGACGGTATGGGGAAGAGTGCTTACGACCACAATACTTTTACGACACTCTTATCGCCATGGCTTATCTAACCGAAGCTGACTGTTCCCCGTCCACTCTGATAGTGAATGACGATTAACATACTCATCCGTCTTTGGGATGTGTAAATAAGGCAACTCTTTGCAATCACGTGCCAATCGGCATCACATTTGAAGTCATTATGTTGTCCGGCCGGGGAGGCATGGTTAAACCAAAGCTTCCTTCAGGCTAACCCGCTTAAGGAGCCTCTTAAATCATATTACTGTTAATTGGACAGCTTTTTCCCGCATATTTTGGTGCTTGTCGTTTTGATTTTGCATGGTCGACAACTGGCCTTGGAGACAACTAGATATTTATTTTTCTGCAAAAATTCCCATATTACGATTTAAACGTCCGTTGGCAAACATGTTTTCAGTAACTTATGATCAGGCCAATACATTTACAATGGTAATGATCTTTTTAATAGTGGACGGGATATAAAGAACTACTTACGCGATGCATACAGAATTTCCAGTCCCTCTGCAACGGCCAGCTATACAAGCAAATAGGCGGTGTGGCAATGGGTTCATCGCCTGCACCGTTTCTCACCAATGTCCTCATGGGCAAGGTCGAGCAAACGAGTCTCAAAGGTACCATTCATGACCTTGACTTCTACGGTCGACACAGACGATATCTTTTGCTATACGAGTCATACCACCGGCATCGATGGCCTGGTTCAGAAGTTTGACGGGGCGCACCCCTCTCTGATGTTAACCGCAGAGACTGAGGCGAATAACGAAATCGCGTTCCTCGATGTTCTTCTACACAGATAAGAGGATGGATCCATCCAATGCAAGATATTTAGAAAGAAAACCTGGACGAGACAATACATTAATTTTCACAGTTTTGTTCCTCTAAATCTAAGACGAAATTTAGTCCAGTGACTGGCGGCTAGAGTGCGACGCATCTACTCTCCTGAAACTTTTGAAGCAGAACTCCATCAGCTGCAAGACACGCTCCGCGAAAACGGCTATCGGAAACGAATGGGAGAAGGTCCCCAAACACACACGACCAGCCAAAGGTGGTTTGTCTTACGGGAAATGTGGTAACAGGGATCTTACGGGTGGGGCCTATGTATGCATAGAGGAATGGCTAAATAGGTATAGATAATTAGTAGATTTGTTTTTCGGTTAGAAAAGTTTTAATGCATTGACATGTAGCAAACAAAATTAAGCAGGACAATTAAAAAATTAACATTAAGTGTCTACAACGATCGCTCATCAACTCTCTGAGCTAAGGTCATTGTAGATAATGCACCAGACCGTCTACAACAGACGACCCAACCTTGTACGATGAAACAGCAAACCGAAATAATTGTGTCGGACCTAAATCCACTTCAATAAGAAAGTATTGTTTGCATGCCACAGATGTTTGGGGGCCTTAACCCGATCCTTAGCACCCCTACTACGGTTGGGAGCCAAAGACCGACTGCCGTTACAGGCCACATCCATGTGTATTTATTCATTCACCTGCACTTGTGGAGCGAGATATAATGGTCGTACAAGTAGGCGTATGGAAGAGAGGGTACGCGAACACATGCCTGTCTGGCTAGGTAGAGGTGAAAACCGATCGATTTTGAGTTCAATTCTTGCACATCTAACCGATAAGCACCACCAAGCCGACGCTAAAGAAGCTTTTAAGGTTATCTACCGGGCACCGGCACATTGCCCTCAAGGCCTGCACAAACGGGTGCTAGCCACAGCCGAAGCAATGGCCATTCGACTAGCGAACCCAGCGCTCATTTGTCAGAAAACGTTGACACAAGCAGTCTGTCTTTCTTGGCCGACTCAAGGTGGCAATCGCACCCCGTCCCGACGCCCTGATAATAGTCACACGCACTTTCAGCGCTTATAATCTAACCGGAACCCCTCTCCTTCCCCAACTCCACCGTCCTCAACACGTTGACTCCGTCATATGGGCGGGGTGGGAGTATGGAGTCTGACCATCCCTGCTCCTGAGACGCATTTATATCCTGTCTACAATTAAAAAGATTATTGCCCATGTAAATGTATTGGCCTGATGATAAGTTACTGAAAACATGTTGGCCAACTGACTTTTCAATATCAATGTTTACTTAGAACCCCGTTCACCTGCCAATGATTAGGATAGTCACAGTTTCGCAGCGGCCGTCAATGCGATTAGACGCTTCAGGGGGGATTTTTCGCCTCCATCATCGTTCTACATGCTTTCACGGTTTTTTTACTGCACCTCCAAGTCCATGCTTCGGGCGGCGAGACACTTGTTTTTCGGCCCCCCCCCCTCTCCCCAACTGACGCACCCGAAGAAATGTCTGTAAATCATCGTTTCTATGCTCGAGTTTGATCACAATTCAACTTATCCAGTTTCCTTCTGAGACAAGATAATTTGATGAGTGATATAACGGACACACAGATCCTACGTCTAGCGTAAGGTTACTTTAACAATTAGAATTCGAACTCCTACCTGTTTTTATATTCCGTGCTACCGTAGGCCTGATTGCCTTTTCTCTCGCATGTGCAAGTTAGTCAAGTCTTTACAACTCATGCCGGAATTCTCGTGCTGTACTTGAGATTTAAACAACTATATTTATGGGTTCTAGCTATTCCGAGGCTAACCTGATAGTGAAACAGTTCGATTTTGTTTATTTCCCGGAAACGCTGTTATTGTTTAACACATCTGATGGCTGCATTTATTTCCTCCTGATCCGTATTCATTCGCTTTCATGTCTGATCACTTCACAGGACCCCGAGCTCAGAGGTCGCTTCGAAATGCGTCTTGTCAGGGCCTTTGACCTCCTTAACGACCCCTTGTTCAACTCCTATCGTGACCTCCTTAGTACGGATCTTCGTGTCCTCCTCTGCACCCTGCAATTCCAAGCCGTCAAGCTGGCCACCGTTGCAGCGTCCCATGTGTTAATTCCGCGTGTCGAGCCCCCGAACCTGGATGATGGACGAGGCGACGGGCCATCGGGAAAGCAACAACTGCCTCTGGTGATGCGATGTCTGTGCAAGGCCATCGACGCTCTCGTCCCCGGTCTAAATATTTTCACCGAACAGTCGCCAACGGACTTGCGTCTGCTCAGCAGTCTCACAAGTGATCTCCTGCGCACTGCCATTGAGTACTCGGCCATTGGTATGCGGGAGTTCTCTCAGCAGGAAGTACGTCAGCTTCGCCAACTTCATTTCCTTCAGTTTAGTGTCGGTTAATGCATTAGTTGGAGTAGTTATCTAGTACGCTGGAGTGCCCATCTCTGGCCTATTCCCCATCGACAGCCAGTGATACTCCAACCGCAAGTTGCATACCTGAGGTTTAGATTCGAATCGGTTACTCGTCACTTGAGTTACGGACCCACGCCATCTCGTCTAAGCTCAGCGATATTTAGACACGTAGATGTGGCGTGCATTGGTCTACCCTGATTGTAGAACGGAATTAGTCATTAGATGGATCCGCGCCGTTGTGCGACTGCTGGTGGGACACGAGAGAGAGAGAAAGAGATCTCCAAGGCACAATGGGACGAGTGAGTTCCGTAACGGGATCGGTGAGCGTCCCTCTACCATCCCAGAATACAGTGCGTGACCGATCTCATGAAATGTTAGCCAACATTCTGGAATGCGTTTCCGATTAGGAAGGGTTACTTAGGTGGGGTTGTTATACTGATTATCATGCAGCATAACCCTGTAGCATTTCGGACTCGCCAGGATGTTGGCTTTTGAATGCACTTCTTTTTGACCTCCTACAGAAACCACACTCGGTAATAAATGACTACTTCTATAGCATGCATTTTTCCTACTGATTCTCGATGGTCTCATAAATTCCAATGCATTTTACAGAAAACATGCACAAAAATATGCTTTCTTTTGCTCATTTGGAAGGAAATCACATTATCTTTATATTTTATGTCCGAAGAAAGTGTATATTTAGGTTTTAAAAAGTTTCACGATTCCCGAATAATTTTCAGCCTGATCTGCCATTGCATCAGCGTTTGGCAATTTCAGTCTACAAGGTGCACGCTTTTCGCGTAAGGAAAATCATATATTCCTCTAACCCGTTAAGAAGATATCACATAGAGTCCATGAAAATTTGCAATGGATCCGGACTGTGTTGTGCATTTCATGAGGAGCATTAGTAAACGGACCTGTGCGGTCTTGCATGCATGGACATCACACGGTCTTAAAAACCTCATAATTATAAACTTTTTTAAAACCTTAATATGCACTTTCTTCGGGTATAAAAGATAAAGATGATGTGGTTTTCTTCCAAATGAGCAAAAGAAAGCATATTTTTGTGCATGTTTTCTGTAAAATGTATTTGAATTTATAAAACCATCGAAAATCAATAGAAAAAATGCATGCTAATTAAGTAGTCATTCTTTACCGATAGTGGTTTCTGCAGGAGGTCAAAAAGTGCATTCAAAAGCCGACATCCCGGCGAGTCCGAAATGTTATGGGGTTATGCTGCATGATAATCAGTATAACAACCCCACTTGTGTAATCCTTCCTAGTCGGAAACGCATTCCAGAATTTTGGCTAACTTTTCATGAGATCGGTCAAACACTGTAATTAGCCAAGCGGGAAACGCGCAGGCGAGCATTGTTATTGGTAGACAAATATTGCCGACAGAGAAAAGGGAGACTGAAATGGCTACTTCTGGCTTATTAGCCGTCATTGGTCAATCCCCAGGATTTGCAACCGCCAGACTTATGTATGGCCGGCCGATGACGACTAGTAAGCCAGAAGTGGCCACCCCAGTCTCCTTTTTCTTTGTCGGCAATGTTTTTCTACCAATGACAGCGCTCGTCTTCGTGTTTCCCGCGTGGCTAATAATTCAGGGATGGTAGAGGGACGCTCACCGATCCCGTTACGGAAGTCACTCGTCTCGTTGTGTCTTGGGGCTCTCTCCAGTCCCACTAGCAGGCGCGCAATGGCGCGTAGTATAGGCAGAATAGAATTGTTGACAAAGGGAGACTAGAATGGCCATTTCTGCATTATTGACCGTCGTTAACCAGCTATATCCAACCTCGAGGCGCTGCGACCCGTGGTGCTTGATCCTGTTGGTTAAAAGTTTAACACCCTGATTACTGAGCCCCAGGGGTTACACACCTCGGGTTTGGGTATGGCTGACTGACTACGCCTAATAAGCCAGAAGTGGCCATTCTGGCCTCCCTTGTCTTTGTCGGCAAGCGGCCATTGAAATAACATACATCTCAGCTGAACTCATATTCTGCAGCCATACTAAGGCTATCCAAGTTCCACGGACGAAGGATGCCTTGCCATTGCACGCCACGTCACATTGTGTTAACGAATTTACATGTACTTGTGGATGCAAGTACATTGGGCGAACGCTAGGGCAACTGGCAGCCAGGTCAGTTGAGCACCTGCCTAAATGGCTTCTAAAGCAGGAGAATAAGATTACACGGTCTTCTATTACAAAACAACTCCATGATATCGGTCATTCGGTTGACCCCAAAACATCTTTTTGAGTATTAGTTCGAGCACGAACAACTCGGTTACTGCGCTACCTGGAGGCAGCCTACATACGGCGGGGGTAACCCGACCTATGTAAACAGTTAGACCACGTGGTCAACCTCAGCCTGCCCTGGTAGATCTGAGCCCTTTTGATTTACAAAATCCCTCGGCGTGTTAACTTCCCCACTTTCTTTCCTATGTCGCGTTTTGAAGTTACCATTTTATTGATTAGTCTACGTGCAGTATACGATGACCTTGCTGTTTTGCATTGATTCTCTCTGTGGAAGTTCAAACCTCTGTATCTTTCTCGCATGTTATCTGTGTTATGCAGCGACAGGCTGCAGTTGATAAACCGTCGCGAAATTTACTGGTTCCAATAAATTCTGCTGTCTATGCCTATTTTGCTTAATTATTCTGCCCAGACCGAGCCCCAGCAATAAATATGGGGGGTCATTACACTTGTTAATTGACCGGTGGGGAGCGATGCACTATGACTCAAACTTCACGCCACTAACGCGATTGTCGCCTCTCGCTGGAATTTCGGCCTCCTCGAACTTGAATGTGTGGCCGAGTCTCTTCCAATCAGATGGGACTTACAATTAATTATTAGGAAGTAACACTCACTCAGAAGGCTCACTCACGGCCTCTGACAATCCTGGCGATCTCATTCAAAGCTATAGTATTGTCAGAGGCCGTGAGTGCGCCCTAGACTTTCATAAATTCTTGGAATTGGCCAGGACTGCCCGTCTGCGTGGTCATCCCTTCAAACTGCAGAGGAAGCTGGCTCATTCGGGCGTCCGACGGAACGCCTTCTCTCACAGGGTCATTGGAGCATGGAACGGACTCCCCGATGCGGTGGTTCTTTCCGAAACTATCGAATCCTTTAATTGTAGACTAGTTGCTCATTTACTGAGAAACTACTGTACATATAATCACGATTGTTTTAGCGGCGGCAGTTTGCGCCTGACCCACACCTACCGCCAACTTTTGACTTTCCGCATTTAATAATATTTTTATTAAAGAGCCGTCGGGGGATGTAATTGATGATTCTATTTCTGTTTATAGATATGAATAGGGAGCTCAAGGGCGAAAGCCTCATCCCCTTAATAAACCGACTTAAAACACTTCAGTCCCGGGCTGTATGTCCGAGATTCTGACCCCCAGTGTCTATGGGATGAAGGTACTCCGGAGAAATCGAGCTATGCTCCTGACTTTTCAACCCATTGTAAAAAAATTCGTCGGACGAAATGAACACTAGGGGCGGGAGGGTGTGAGGCGGCAAAACACAGCAGTTGTAGTTTTCTGCAGTTGTGTAGGGATGACAGTGGAGAACGGGCAAAAGTTCGTGAGACTCGGAATGGATAACGATTTAGTGACCAGGCGGCCGACACTACATGGACTATCTTTCTTTGTGCCCTAACAGTCGGCGAGGCGTATGTAAATGCGAGTTAAGTCCACCGGATTTGGGAGGTGGTAATGCTTCAGTGAGCAAACAGACGTCCAGAAATGAGCCAGTCGCGTCTTCCTCTTGCTGTGGCTACGGTAAATTCGAGTCAACCTGACTCCTGGTAAAATCGAGCACAGTGGTTGAGGTGATAAAATGCCGTTGTCTGCATGTCCAACGCATATGTTGACGCCTCACCTGATGAGAATTGCTCTGATACCTAATAAGGGAGCTGTTGAAACCTGTCCGTCAGTACAGTCAACCGTGTTGCAAAACTTTGCAAATCATTACTTTTGGAGCTTCCAGACATTTTAAACGCGTTTCGTCTTTATCATAGCGAGGAAAGTTCGCACAGAGTTATCTTCACCATCTCTTCTGTCCTGCTAGTCTTTCCGTGACAAGTTCGGATCAAGCCAACTTAAAACGAAATTAGACGACGTATCGTGGATCTTCCGCCTAAAACGTTCCGCATACCCCTTTAACTCTTGTTCATTTTCGACGCAAAAGGCAGCTTGTTTTGGGAGCTTAATTTCCACTTGCCGTCTTCCGGGTGCTCACTCGCGTATTATTTACCAACTTCTTAGCATTTATTTTGCCCTGACTCTATCTCAACTCTCGCTAACTGATGGCCAGACATTCTTCCGTATGCAGCTTGATAATCTCTTCTAAGTTTACTATTGTGTGCGCGTCTTTTTCTCCAAGTGATAATCCACGGGACCACCGTTGTCTCTGCACAACTGTGCCTATTAATGGCCATTTGTGGCCTGTTAGCCGTCGTCAGTCAATCATACCCAACCCCGAAGTGTAGAACACCCGAGGCTCGAACTCGCGACCATTATGCCTATATCATGCGCCGCTGTGCGGCTTCTGGTTGGGCTCGAGAGAGAGCCCGTAAGGCACAACGGAACGGGTGAGTTCCGTAAGAACGATCGGTGAGCGCCCCCTACCATTGTATATTCCCGATCGAAAACCGACAGGGCAACGGGCTCGTGACCCAGTGGTTAGAGGCGTGGACTTCTAACTAACAGGTCGCGAGTTGGAGCCCCGAGTGTTCCTCACTTCGGGGTTGGGTATGACTGGCTGACGACGGCTAATAAGCCAGAAATGGCCATTCCAGTCTCCCTTGTCTTTGTCGGTAATAGCATTAAGCCAGAAATGGCCATTTCAGTCCTTCTTGTCTTTGTCGGTACTATCATTGTGTTTATTACTTCCACTCTCAGTTTTATATAGCTTCCATCTGTGTCGCTTATGATAACCGCACCATTTAAGGATCTGGGACAGAGTGCGATTAATCACGAGCATGCAAACGTTGAGTCACTGTCCCCTAATCAGCTTTTTTCTCTTCCACACATAGTGTAAACCCTACTGGTTGCTGGAAGACGTCAGCAATGTCCTCAAGCGAGTTCAAAAGTTATTGCCCTTCCAGTTGAACAGTCTCTTTGCACTCACCGGCGACCCTTCCTCCTCGACCGGACGACGGAAGGGGGTGACAGGCAGCTCGGTACTGGAATATGCCAACTTTGGCCCTGAGATTGTTCGGTGTGTGGTCTACTTCCGTCTACACACTGCCAAAGTCGCCTTGTTGCAGGTCCAGTACTCACACTTGGCTGAATCCGAGAGTCATCGTGGCCCGATGCATAATCCCACCGTCTGGTCGGGCATGGTGGGTCAGATGCGCGCTGCCATCACCTGGCTCGATAGGAACCTGCCGCCACAACTTTTTGAAGTCCGGCCCTCGCCGGCACCGCGCCGTCAAAAACGATCTGTTCGCCAACAACAGGAGTCAGTTGCCAGTGTCGCCTACCCGCCAACATTTGCGGAAGACGCCCTCCTCTACATCTCGGCGGTGGTTTGTTTCGTCAGCCTGCAGATTGTCCACGTTGGTAAGTTCCACTGTCGGCTGATCCTTCGAAAGTCATCAGTAAGGGATACGGCCTCCCCCGTTACGCATTTCTACAACGCGCCTAAGATTAAAATTTGGGTGCTCCAATTGTTTGATGCCAAGCTTTATAATTCAGTCTATTTCAACCGAGACGTCAGTATGTCGAATCTCATCGCCATATGCGGAATAACCGGCCCCTGAGGGACAGTCAATAGTGCATAAATGTGAGTAAAGTTCAATCTATCATACTCCTTGCACAGGTCTTAACTAGAAGTTCTGACGCGTGTCTCTCTGGTTTTATGCCTCAGTGTTCGGCTAATAGATGGGTCCCTCAGTGTTGACCGTATGGCCAATGGCTTGTCCTTTGAATTTCGTCAGAAATTAATGTGTGACCGTGAGTTTAGTCTTCGCAGCGTTGTTGCCTTTTAGTCCCCTCGTCTTCCAGTGAAAAACCGGTGCAGTCTGCATTCTGCCTTGGAGCCCCGGGTCTATTGCGCAGAGGCGAGCAGTCAACCATTGCTGAGTGTTACCGACAAAATTAGGAAAAATTAAATGGGCACTTTGAGTTCACTAACTGCCATCATTTACTAATATTTGTTCCCCTCTTCAATGAACTAGATGTTGACTACGACTTGTTGGTTTTGTTTGGGCAACGAAGTGCGAACTTATAAGCCCTTTTGATTTTACTTGCTGCAACGCAACACTAGGGCTATTTAACTCGTGAAATTTTGAGAACTTTGAGGCCATCTTGATTTTATGAGCCGTTGCCCCACTTTGTATTTTTCCTTTTGTCTTTGCTTGATATTAACAATCCGCGGACGTTCGTTTTGATGGCGTGTCAGCATATCTTCTTCCTGTCTTCCCCCCCCCCCCCTCAGAAGTTTTGTCGGAATCAGGAATTCACCAGCTGATTCGTGAGGCCCTCGGTGCCCATCCGGTGGTTGCCTCACTCTCACACTGGCTCACTTCCCTCGGCAAAGACGGCACTGCCATCCCTGAAGAGGATTTGTGCTCGAATATGCTCCAACTGGACCGTATTTTGCAGTGTCTGGTGTCCACCCTCTACACCAAGACCACCAACCAACGCAGTGTGGATATCGCGCTGGAGGCGAAGAAGAAGAAACGACGAGCTCGACGAGGTGCTGGTGGCGGCGGCAGCGGCAACCTCGCTGGCAACACCGGTCCCACCGCGGATTCGGGCGCATTGCAGCAAGTATACACCCTTCTGAAGCCTAATCTGCCCTCTGAGGCGAATTCTGCGCAGGACAGTGCTCTGAAGTTTATAGACAAGGACACGCCAACCAGCCTGCCGGAGGTGTCATGTTTGCTACTTTCTCACATGGTAGCTGTCGCTCAGTATTTAGAGAGTAAAACCGCCTGACACATGACAACAATGACGTGGATGCTTTGTTTACTCATTTCTGCCTTGTATCGACAGCTGCACCCTCCCTGCATCTCCAGTTCAGTGTATAGTGTCGCCTAAACTTTGACTCATGTATATATTTATGGTTCAGACTTGAATGGCATTTCCCTTTATTGACCTCAGCGCTTTCCCAAAGCCGCAGGTGAATTCGGCGCCGCTGTGGGCTAAGAGGTTGGCCCTGCAGTGACCTGCGAGTGAATTTGTTTATAGTGAGGCAAGAAATCGCTCCACAACCCTTACTCCCTCTACCCACACACACACCCTATGCTCCACCGGCAAGGTAAGGTCAGGGTCAGAAGTGGGCGTGTCGAATGTAGTGTGGTCGACAAGACAAAGATTCCCAATCGTAAGTCAGGGAAGACGTAGTGAGTTGGACAACCTTTACTGTTTTGGAAGTGCGTACACAAAGGTTCTGTGGGCAGTCGTCTCCGCGAGCGCGCTCTCCAGGCAAGTCGTTGTCTGTGTCCGCCTTCGAAGTGCTAAGACCCAGCGCGTGTGTGCGTCTTTCGTTGTCTCCGTGTCCGCCAGCCAATCAGAGGGGGGGACAGCGTTGATTGGCCTGGAGCACCCGCGAGGCTAGTGACAAGCCTCGCGTGTCCCAGCAACGTATCGACAAGGAGTGTGGGGCGGACAGTAAGGCAGCGTGCCAAAGGCAGAGGACAAGGAGATGCGAACTGCCACTGGCGCGCGCTCCGGTTGTTAGCAAAACTAAAATCTCCGTCTTCACGTGCCACACACAATCTGCCACTTGGAGCACACGTGCCGAGCCACACAAAATAACACTTTTTACGTAGGTGAGATGTGCACATTCTCACCTGTGACCTTTCATGCGTCTTGCCAATGCTGACAAATGTCATCGTATGCATTATGCAGACGTGTTGTGTGATGTAATTATCGCGTGTGATAGAATGGGCTCATGTGCAGACTAAGGTAGCTTGCATGTTCAGGTAGGACGAAGTGTTATTAGGATGTCCAGGGTGCTGTCTTACTGAAGATTTTCGTGTACACGCATGTGACCCAATAGGTCAAACTGTGTCGAAATGTCCTGGGACAAAATGGACAGTTAGGGCGCGCATGGCGAGTGGATGCCGGGATTCCAGGTACTATCTGACCTGTCGCACTGCGGTAGATTCGTAAATGATCAACCAGACTGACGTGCGATTCGGGTGTGCGGTCCTAATGGGCATAGGTTGAAAGTTAATACGTATTTCCTGTGGAAGGGACGATGGTGTGGCTGGATGGATAACTGGGCGGTCGCGTTGACATTGCGCTGGGTCCGAAGATGTTCAGCCAGGCAAATCTGTGCCCTGAATATCCGCTGACAACGTTGACAGTATGGTGGGGCTGGGTGCATGTTTTGCTGTTTCGCGGCAGCTGAGCCACTGCCATTTGGTTGACTGTGAAAATGGCTGCTCCAGTCCCAACGGCAGACTGCTGTGCCTGTCGATTCTGTGCGAGCCCTTTTCATGTCTCAGGGTTAGCTTGTAGGTCTCTAGCACAAGTCTTCGGAAGGCTCTTGGATCGTCGATTCGGTCCCCGTTGTGCTTTTACAGATAAATATTTAGCTTTATTATTTTAATTGTCCGAAGGCTTCCCTACTTCACAGTATATACAGTGAGTGACCTATCTCAAGAAACGTTGGCTGAAATTCTGAAATGCGTTTTCGATTAGGAAGGATTACTTGGTCGCGGTTGTAATACTGCTTATCTTGCGGCATACTCTTATAACATTTCGGACTTGGCAGGACGTCGGCTTTTAAATGTACTTCTTTTCAATCCCCTGTAGAAACCGTGCTCGGTAAAAGATGACTACTCAAGTAGCATGCATTTTTCCCATTGATTTTCGATGGTCTTGGAAATTCAAATATATTTTATAGAAACCATAAACAAAAATACGCTTTCTTTTAGTCAATCAATAGATAATCATGTCTTATTTATATTTTATACTTAAGGAAGGAAGTATAATTAGGTTTTAAAAAAGTTTTTAACTATGAGACTTTTTAAGACCGCGAAATGTCCATTGACATAGCATCGTATCTGGCCGTTTACCATTGCTCCTCATGAAATGTACAACATGGTCCGCATCCATTGCAAAATTTTATGGACTCTGTATGATATCTCTTTAATTGCATAGAAAAATATGTGATTTTCTTTACGTGGAACGCATGCACCTTGTAGAGCGAAATCACTAAGCGCTAATGGAACGAATGATCAGGCTCTAAATTATTCGGCAATTAGAAAACTTTTTTTAAAACCTAATTGTACTCCTTCCTGAAGTATAAAATATAAAGAAGGCATGATTCTCTATTGATTGACTAAAAGAAAGCGTATTTTTGTTTATAGTTTCTATAAAATATATTTGAATTTCCAAGACCATCGAAAATCAATGGGAAAAATGCATGCTAATTGAGTAGTCATCTTTTACCGAGCACGGTTTCTACAGGAGATTGAAAAGAAGTGCACTTAAAAGCCGACATCCTGCCAAGTCCGAAACGTTATAAGAGTATGCCGCAAGATAAGCAGTATTACAACCGCGACCAAGTAATCCTTCCTAATCGAAAACGCATTTCAGAATTTCAGTCAGCATTTCATGAGATCGGTCACTCACTGTATCCACAGTGAAAACTTTACTTAAAATTGGCTCCACAATTCTGCCTAAAATAGTTCAAAATTCACGCTTAGTCTTCCCATGAATTGGAAGACTATCTATTGCTAGGCATATAACTACTTCTTCTACTGAACGAGGAAGAGCCAGAGTACGCAACTGGGCGTTCAGCTGAGCTGCAAGTCCCAAATGCACGTACTTACCACTGACCATTGCCGTGATCGGTGCAGAGATGTATGTCGCGCCCAACAGCGTTCGTGCGTCAGCTGGGAGGTCCGGCAACCACGGTCTCAGAGCCTTAAGCAGGTCTTTCAAGTGCAAATGTGGAGTTTTTGAGCGTAAAGCCCACTTGCGCAGACTTTCACGTGTGCTTGAATCCTTCTCTATTTTTGGCGTTGAATCACCTTCCTCGTACGTAGACGCACAGGGACCCTCCAACGAAGAAGAGTGTTGGTGCTCAAGCGAAGTTGAGGACTCGGATTCGTCCGTGAAGCTGTCCGACCAACTGCCAGATGATGTTTCCGACGACGACATTTCCCTCACCTCTTCGCTGATCCTTCGTATTATTTTTTTTCAGTTTCCCTGCGTGCTTGACGCCGGATATTACGCCTACTTACAGAATTAAACATAATTGTCAGTAAAAGGGAACAAAATAGAAGACAAAAGCAATGACGGGTCAGGTAGGCAATGAGAGAGTTGAGGTAGGCACGGCGTGCGCACTGCAGCGTGAGAAGGCAAAAAGTGGCACCGAGGCCAATCGATAATCAAGTGCAAGTATACGCGGCCGCTTGCGCCCTTCGCGACGCTGGCGCAGCCGACCCAAGAACCAATCAAATCGCGAGCTGGCTAAAGATCCACTAGCCCCTAGAGTACGCGGGGTCGCCGCGATCTCGCTTGCTACTAGGGGATGGGTGTTGGCGGCTATCTTGCGTAAATCCTTCTTCTTAGGGAGCAGGCTTCGAAGTTCTTTGCCGTTGCCGAACCAGTCCTAACGCTGTCACAGTTCGTGACTGAGGTCTTTTAGGGCGGTGGCATGCCGCGGTTCCCTTCATTTGGTCTCAACGGTAGCATTTTCATCCAGCACCTGCATTAGTTGCAGTTTGGGAGTCAGTTACTATAATCCGGTCGGCGCTCAGCCACATCCAATAAGGCAGTATCTAAGATGCCTGATGTTTGCTTACGTTGTCTGGGGGGGGGGGGGTGTGGCGTGGGTATTGAAGTTATCAACAACATTCAATTTACCCGCTTTCGGCGTAATACAAGAAGGTAGTGTAGTTATTTGTCCCGTCATTTGAATAATATGGGCGCTGGCGATGATCCCCGCGCAGTGGCTGCCTCGCGATCATGAGGTGCTCGTTGAGTCACTGTCAGCGGTAAAACAGTCGCATTGCGACGTCCTTGATGGCGAAAGCGACCTCAAAAGACGAAGATGCGATCACTGGAACAAGAACTTTATTGGCCAGGCAGATAAAGATATCTGCGACTGCCTCTGATGATGGTTTCGAGAGAGAATCCGAAACATCAGGCCAATAAATTTCTTGTTCCAGTGATCGCATCTTCGTCTTCTGAACTGCTACCTGGGACTCGCCTGTTCGCTTCTATCAGCAATCTTTTTTGGGCGCGAAGCGCTCCGATCGGCTCGACGGTGGGAAACCTTTGCCGTTCGAGAGTCGTCAACATATGCGCAGATTCGATTTCTGCACAGGTGTCTCGACAACAATGTACTGCCGAAGTGCGTTTCATACAGACCTCCGGTCAACACAGAGCTGGCCAGACGCGCAGTACTTCAAACGCGACCACGTCGTCTCCCCCCCCCCGCTCTCGGGCGTCTGCCCAAGGTGTATCCCCTGCCCACATTCTTCAGTTGTTTAGAGATGGGAGTCCTGCCGGGAGCTGTGATTTCCACCTTGTAGCGACGCAGCTTCCGGATGATTGGGACTGTCCCTCCTCTTCAGTTGACGTCTGAATTGCCCAGAGGTGAACGAAGTTTCAACGCCGGTAGTACCAACAGCGTCACTGACAGACTGTCAGGCGGGACGGACATGGTCGTTCGGATCGCATATTTTGCGTATACAAGCGACGGTCAGTTTGCCAATGGTGTGTTTTATTAACATTTACTAAGGCACATTTTACTGCTCCCTTCCCCGAAATAAGGTTGCTAAGCCATCTCAGGCTGCCGACAAACTTTGCTCGAGGTCACGACATTACTTTAGCGGAGGAAGGACTGAAATTGGAATTTCACGTCGCTTCCTTCGTAGGGCGTGGGGACACACCAGCTATCCCCCCTGGTTCAGGAACGGTTGCCGGAGTGTGTCCGCCGCTCTGAGCACGGATTTGTAAAACCACAGGTGAGGGCTGGGTGCTAAAGAAGAGCACACTATAAATATTCACAAGTTTTATCGATGCGTTATATTAGGAACGTCAGTGCATTGATTATAAGTACTGGTTACGAGTGTGTTCGTGCCTGGTCTATCTGACCTAGGTAGTGCCGTTACCTCTACATGCGTTATAGTCCTCGGCATGGTTCCTCTGTCAGTATGCGCCACTCAACGGTTATCCAACCGCGTCGACATATCGCGAGTGTGTGCACAGCAGAACCCACCACACCTCGAACCGGGTACCACACCGGGAAAACTTAACAACTAGACTCCAAATCACGCCCAATCCTGAGTTGCCTTTTTCTCTGACGGCTGGACACTGCGCTCAACTCTCTCTCTCTCTCTCTCTCTCTCTCTCTCTCTCCATCTCTTAACATGCTGCCTGACTGTCACATTTCCACCGCAACCAAGAAATGCAAGTGTACGGCCGCGGCCATCCCCGAGTGAGTCATTCGAGTTTTAGAGATTGCCCCCCTCCTCTTTACGTTTGTCTGGTTTGTTTGGAGGCTGTTTTCTGTCGATTGCTGCTGGGCCAAGATGAACAAATTGGCACTCTCTAACAAGCGCGTTAATCCTGTTTTCGACTGCAACCATAAGGAAACTTGACACCATCCTGTTGTCACTTAGATTATATTCTTTTCCATCTGCGGGTTAGAATGAAAGAAACCGCTTTATGGCGCCAACCGCCGCCTTAGGCGTGTCCCGACTCATTCCTGATCAGGATTTCCATTCCTCGTTACCTTCTTTGTCAAAGCTAATCACCGGTGCCGGCTCGATGCTCTTGAGCTCGTCTCCTTACTGAGCGACAGAACCTGTTCAATTCATGGCTGTCGCTTCTACTTTTGGCCGTTTTCGTGGGTTCTTGGCGGCATTTAAGTTTGTTCCCGGTTAAGATAAATTCCGAACCTTGTGGATTCCGTAGTAGCATCTGTCTGCTGTTATGTCCATTATACAGATTTTTCTCCAGGTGCTTTTATCAACCTCGAGCCCGGTCGTTTTTGCGGAATCGTCGAACTGAAATCTGAGGAAGTTATTATCTTCCCTGAAGCCACTGTGAGCTACACGATAATTCAGGGGGCATATTAGATTTTTCGGCAACAGTACGGTGTGCAACCGTAGTGAGGCCACCTGTAAGGCGTGAGCTGTAATAACAGGGGTTTTACGGGTGGGACACATGCGGAAAAGCATGAATTGGCCAAATTAATACCAAAAATAATACATAACAAGCATAAAAAGGGCATCTTGTTTGAGTCAACGTATAAAGCAAGTGATAAATGGAAAAAAAGTGAAAGTGTAGGCAATTAGGGTGGCGGAAATCACCGAAGCGTCAGGGCTTGGCCAGTGAGAACGCCTGGAAGAGTCTAAAAGTCATAACGTTAGTTTTGCCCTGAAGTCGGCGCGATAATGGGCGGGAAATTGCAGATTCTGGAAAAAGTTGTGTTTTCACTCTAAAAAGGCAAGTTATTCATCATTTAGCATGGGGGGGTTCATTTATATCCCCAAAAATGTATCAGGAATCTAAAAATTAGAGATACGATGGAACCTACGACGAAAAGTACATCAGAAACACTAAATTTTATGCATGAGAACTCAAACCATAGTTAAAGAATGGGGTTAGGGGGGATTTAGAATAAAAACACTAATAATTCTCCCTGAAAATGAGTCACAAATCAGAAAAGCTGGGGTAAACAGAAGTTTAGGATTTATGAAATCAGTTTATTAATTGATTATCAACAAAAAGCACTGGAAATTAATTAAAATGAGATCGGGCAAGAATCTAGGTCAGAGGCTCATATATATGTATATATATGAAAAAAGAAGAGGTTCTTCGGAAAAAATCGAATTGTTCTCGTAAATTTTCGAATTTGTGACACCAACTCGTCGTCAGACGAAATGAATATAAAAGAGAGAGTGAGACAGTCACACTAGACTAGTTGACGCGACCGGACAAACACTGATGGGCGGACCATTAGCGTTTGAGGAGAGATGCGGGCAGGGAGTCATGTTGGGTTTTGAGCCGGGTGAGGGGAGAGAACAGTTACGGCTCCCCGTGTTGGAGGGGAGGGAGACTGGTAGGTTGGTGGAACTGCGGGCGCCTGGATTAGCGGCCGCTGATGCGGCGTGGGGCTCGGCTTAGTGAAGCGTTCATCATCTCCCGAAGAAGACGAAGTGAGGGCGAATTCATGAGCCATATTGTATTCGAACTGACGTTTCGGAAACTTCCTCGTTTCCATCATCAGATTATCGTGCCTATTGCTGCTACCGGTCTTGATTTGTTCAGTCTTACTGCTTGTAACTTATTATAGCCGTGCTCGACGCACGAACTTTGACCTGCCTGTTTGCCGCTGACTGACAGAAGGCCGAAGTGCTCAGCATCCATAAATACTGCGCGAGGCCGTACAAAACCTGCCTCTGACAATGGAAGCTTGTCTGCTTTCGAAACTTCAGGCCATTAAACCCATGGTTCCCGTGATAGTTTCTTCTTCTCATACATACATACACTAGGTGGGTTAACTCATAACTTGTCAGCAAAAATTCCGAAATGCCTTTTCGTTTTGAAAATATTAATTAAATAGCGTTGTAAAACTAATCATCCTGCAGCATAATTCTATGATAAATCAGTTACGTCAGGATGCCGGCTTTCGAACGAACTTCTTTCCAGCTGCACGCAAAAACTATACTCTGCAAAAAAATGACTATTTATGTAGCATACGTTTTTCTCATGGATTTTCGATGCCCTTAGAAATTCAATAATATTTCATGGAAAACGTGAATAAAAATAATCTGTCTCTCGCTCAGTCGGTAGAAAATTACGTCTTCTTCCAACATCATACTCGGAAGAAGGGTATAATTCGGTTTTAAAAAAGTTTCGAATTATGAGATTTTTAATGCTGTGAAATGACCGTTCATATAACGTCATGTCTCTGCATTTTCCGATGTGACTTGGAAAAATAACAATATGGTTCAAATCTACTGCCAAATTTTATGAACTCCATGCAGTATCCTCTTAATACCCTGGAGAAATGTATGGTTTTCCGTACGCGGAAAATATACGGCTTGTAGTTTGGAAACCCTGAATGCAAGTGTGACGCCATTGAAAATCCATGAGAAAAACGCATGCTACATAAATAGTCATTTTTTCCAAAGTATAGTTTTTTGCATGCAGCTGGAAAGAAGTTCGTTCGAAAACCGGCATCCTGACGTAACTGATTTATCATAGAATTATGCTGCAGGATGATTAGTTTTA